GTATGAAAGTGAATGGCTGTCAAGTAAGATTTTCAAGGCAAAATTTTCACATAAAGCTATCATAGCATCAGTAGGTGTGGAATATATTGCATGAATTGTCCACATTTCAGGCTTTGATGCTTCTTTGTGAAGAGACCTGCAATATCTGCTACATATTTACAATGGCATTGACAGAAAAAAGAAACCTATATGTTTGAAATGACGGAATTGTTCTTTTTGGCTATGTATCTCTCTGTATTTCCCTCTTTTCCTACATTCTCTCCCAGATAAATCCTTCCCACTGCAGCTCTCTGAGTGGTGTTTACGTGGGATCTCACGGGTGATTCTGCTAAACAACCCCCCTGAGTGGAGCTCTGATTCTGGCAGCATTGCTGCTGGAGAGCCCTTGGCAGGCTCTGCTGGGGATGCTCGGCCTTTTTGGCCTCCACCCTCACAGCTATAATGCTGGGACAGGACTGGTGAGGAATTACACACCCACACAAGCACAAAAGCATAAACATCATCGACCAAAACATGTATGAATAAAACACAAAAGGACATGCCTATAGCAACAAAAAAAAAAAATTGCGTATTAATGAAACAAAATGCGTATTATATACAACAGAATGCACTGATTACTGTTACTGATTAACTAAAAAGAATCAGACGTACAAAATATTCGCTCAGGAATCAAAATGCACTCCAGCTCTGTAGGCTGCTGCATGTTACTGATTCACTAAATAGAACCGGCCCATAATAAGAGACTTGAATTGGTCGCAGTGTTTGTTACTGATAAATTCAAGGGAAACTAAACCCTAAAACAACTTTTTTTTAGTTAAAGGGGTGATGAACTGAGAAATCAAATTTTCCTTGAGCTTTTGACATCTAAGAGGTCATCATATTGTAAGAATATCCAACCCGATCTCACGACCAAGTCGTACGAATTCGACGATTAAATAAAAAGTGGCTAATTCGTAACAATTTGTACGACGAGTGAGGTCGTACAAATTAGCCACTTTTTAATCATGCGTCGAATTCGTACGAATTGGTCGTGAGATAGTGTTGGAATATCCTGTAAGTTTCAGAACTGAAAACATCCTTGTTGGTCCAATAAAAGCTTTTATTGACACTAGGCTTAGCAAACAACTCGTTTTTCAAAGTGGGGAACTATGACGTCAAAGAGGATAAAACACCACCCCCGCAGAAGATGATCAACGCCTACTTCAACACGGCCGGTTTAGCCCCGCCCACCGATTCGCGCATTACACGCATAGCTAAATAACTTAGGCCTACCTCATGATGATGACAAACCGGATCCAGCTACCGAGCAATAAACATGTTGTTTACAAAATATTGTGCAGTGCCTGGTTGTGGAAGAAGACAGTCGCTGCATAAGCTGCAAAATTATTATAATTATAATATGCAAAACTGTTATCCACTTACAGCAGTGGGCGTTTACTTCAAAGTCTTCAGTGCGAGACGCCCATAAAAACCGAGCGTTTTTGAGCTAGGTTAGAAAATAGCCTTTTACTTATTCATTTTGAAGTTTCTGAATGTAAAAACCAAGCGAACATCATAAGTTGACCTCAGACAACAATATAAATAATTTTAAAAAGCCAGTTCATGACCCCTTTAATGATCTGATAGACTGGGGCTTTATTAATGCTGTTCATTGATTCTTTAGTATTCTTTAGTATTGATTCAAAAGATGTTGTTTTTTTACATTTGGGTATAAAGTGTTTATATTCTACAATATATGGTGTAAAAAGGTATGAATGCTGCCCTATTCGATACTGCAGTTGAATTTTCCTATTGGAAGTTGTGGTGTCCTGTGATGTAAGCATGGACCAGCCCCCTCAACCAGCTCAAAACTTATGAGCCGGTTCTTTTTGAGTCATAAGAGTCATTCAAGCGGGATTCAGACTTCACAGGTCGCTGTATTGTGATCATGACTGTGATCACTAAACAGAACCGGCTAACAAGAGGCATTAGTGCGGGAATCAGACTTTTTCAAGCATACAGAAAACACACATGCTGCATCCAATAATGCTCCTAGTGTAAAAGCACATTTTTTCTAAGCACTTGACTGGCATGGCTAAAAGAGAAGCACAAGCTATTTTCCAGTCTCACATGTGATCCTACCTTGTGTGTGTGTCCGCAGGGATGAGGTTTCCAGTGGCCTTCATGGTTTTAATGGAATGCTGGTGGCTCTGCTGATGGGAGTGTTCAGCTCTGCTGGAGATTGGTACTGGTGGCTTCTGCTGCCTGTGTGTCTCGGTGGAGCTACAACGTAAGAGCAAATTAATTGATACCATATAGATTTTTCTGTCATATATGGGCTATATGCACGCATAAGTTCCGCATTTGACGTAAGGATGCTCGTCCATTTCCGGTTGTTACATTAAAGCGGAGGAAAACCGGAGAAAATGGGATTATGGCAGAGTCTTCAATATTTACTGTCCTCCCGTCTTTGAAACGAAACGTACATATAGATGTAATTTTATATATAGTTATGTTTATTTAATATAATTTTAAAAAGAAGCTTAAACACAACGAGGGGTGTCTGTTTTATCTGTTTTTGTGACTAACGTTTCTTTAGTATAACCATGGAGTATAAAATTCAATATAAATTCTCGTTATTGCATTGGACTCTATGATCGACGGAAGTTATCGAGCATCCCTAATCCTTCACCGGAAATAACGCCGTGCATAGAGCCCATTCACATATACTGACCCTCCCAAACCCAAACAACCCTTTTTCTCTCCTGTCTTAGAACTTTTCTTTCCAGCAGCTTGGCTCCGATTCTGGAACGCTGGGATTTACCAGTTAGCGTCTTCCCCTTTAACACAGTCATAGTGTTGTATTTGGCCTGTACTGGCACTTCTAACCCCTATTTTCCAAACTATCCTGCCGAGCCACCAGGGGCGCCAGAGGGCACCAACCACACCCAACTACATGTTCCACAGGTGAGAGGATGAAACAGGATGGAAGCAACATGAGAGAGTGATGTGAAAAGGCAAAAGCAAATTTTTTGCCGTTATGTTTTATTGTATATTCTGTCTCTCATTCCCTGTAGCTCTCTCTGACTTTTGTATTTGTCATCTTCCTGTTTTGCCTCTTTAACCTCCTTTATCTGCTCACACAATGCAGATTCCTTCCTCAATCTGCCTTCATCGTCCTTCCATTTTGCATCTCTCCTGAGGTGTGTGTGTGTATGTGTTTAGATGCCATTATGATGATCGTATGGATTACTCTGGTCTGTTGGATGGCATTAGGTTGCGATGGGCTGATCCACTCTCTGGCACACTGACTATAATGGGCTGTTTATAGCCGACATATTTATGCACTAAACTGTATCTGCTGCTTTTATCACATCTCCATGGTGACAGCTTGATCCTGTAATAACTGGTGCGTAGAGCAAAAAGATATAATGGAAAATAACTTTTATATTTATTTTGTATGTTTTTATGTCTCACTTTCATAAATATTCAATGTGAAAGAAGCAGAGTTAAAACTAAAAGCCCATTAAAATGAGCTAGAGCCAGAGTCCACAAATGACTAATGCAAATGACCTAATATGGGGGATATCAGTATAAATATAAATTTGTATCTATGCTTGCATACTTCCAAAACTTGACAAAACAACTGTTAGCAGGGATACACATTTAAGATAATTTAGATAATGACTATGAAAAATAGATTTCATCAGCTTCCTGTTTAATTAGGAAATAAAATAGAGCATGAAAGAAAAATATTTTATATTTTCCATCAGCTTCTGCAAGGGGTGGTACTTGGCGTGGGGCAGATCTTTGCATGTGGCACTCTAGGCCCATCTCTGCTTATCTTGGGTGCTGTTTTTCTCTTCTCACCAATTCTGGCCGTCCATGCCCTCCTGGGATCTGTCATTGGCACTGTGGCAGGTAAGTCAAAAAGAAATAAGAAAACTATTTTTTCAGGGTTATTATTTTGAAGGTCTCAAATAATATCTCAAAAGTTTCTACTGGACTTATTAAGACTGAATGGAGACCAAATTGAGATAGATTTTTCCAGATAACATTCGGCAAGATCTAAATATTATAATTTATCAAAATATACAAAACCACATTATCGGGAAAATACTATCCAAACTGATTTTATAGCTGTTTCTGCATGCCAAAAAATTTCTCATTTGTTTTTATTTTCATTTCACAATTGATATACAGTATTGACAATGCCTTTAAACTATGAAAGAGACACATCTTAGCAATATATATTCTCTGTCTGAATGGTGTTTAAAAAGGATTTGGGATAGAGATACTTGCATGGATGGAACAAATCAAAACATTGGTGGTTAAATCCTGTCTAGGGTTTTGTGCTGAATGTGTCGAAGCAGGCTCCAAACAGATTCCCTCAAACGCCCACTATGATAAGACGATCATTTGCATCTGCTGCTTAATAATTAGTCAGTTTTACTGCTGCGTTTGCCACCTCAAGACCGTGAAGGTGTTTTTACCCTGTCACTCATTCTCTTTTTCATACACACAGACATACACACACATATTCTCTTTCTCTTTTATATTTTATATAGTACACAGCTGTACAGAGACATATGAGTCATCGCAGACTCAAAGACACTACAGAGGTAGTGGTAGACTGTGTGTGTGCGTGTGTGTGCGTGTGTGTGTGTGTGTGTGTGTGTGTGTGTGTGTGGTGTAGGTAGAAGAGACTGATTTAAGATACCTCATCCCCAGCACAGCACCCACTCACTGTTTCATCCCCTGTGTGATTTAAACCCAAAAACTTCAAAGCCCTCATGTAATATTCCATAAAGGAGCATCAGAGAGTCTTTGGTCTTATTGGAGACTCTACAGTATATCCATGTGTGAGGGTGTAAGACAGCTGTCTGTTATTCTCCATAGTAGTGAGGAGGTTGATTTTAGATAAGGAAAGGTCATCCTGTCTGTGTGTCAGCAGAACATTGACATTTAATTCGGGAATGGTTCACAATGCTGCAGGGTCGAAGACAGATGGAAAGAATGAAAGAAAGCAATGCTGGATTATAGATGGAGCCTCTGACTGTCAGGGGCCTTTAGGCTCAATCCCATTTCACCCCTTGCCCCTACCCCATGTTTTCGAAGGTACCCCTTGCCCTTAAAACAGAGTAACAAGGCCCGAGGGGTTGAAATATTCCACTATGAAATGGAACAACCATTCAAGAAAGTCGTCGATGATGACTCTGACATTACGGACCCGATGAGTTTTTACAGGATTTCTCCATGACAACGATACCAACGATCTCGTCCTCCGCTGTGGCAATCTCTGTCGTATGGGCTGTATGCATCTTTCTGCACTTGTCTGCTGCAACTCATACAAGAAAGACCATCATCATTCTACAAGTCACCATCCTCTCATCTGGTTCCCGTTGTTCCACCACCTCTCTACTTTTAATAAACACTGTGTGCACCTAAACCAATCTGTCTCCTCGTGTGTTTGTGACAGAAGACCAGACCTTCATGCAGAGTCCTGTTGGAACCAGCGGGGAGCGGGGAGCAGTTTGCCCAGGCGGTTCAGCAAACTCCCCTCTGCACCACCCGCTCCTTCGCCACCTGCCCTGTGCCAATCCCATGGCCCAACCAGCAACATACAACGGTGAGGTGGAGGATTGCTGTGGGTTCCTTCTACAAAGCCCTGGAGGCTCTCTCTGGAGAGCCGGGAGAGAACACCCAGGCAGCCAGCAAACCCTCTCGCTCTTACAGGATCGCTACTGGTGGCCCAACATAGACTCTAGATGTCACTGATCTAGTGTACCGAGTCCATTCCATCCTTGACTCATCCTCGGCGGGGCGGCCGCCTTGAGTTCCTGATTGACTGGGAGAGATATGGTCCATAAGAACGCTCATGAATGTCTCGGGATGACGTCCTGTATCCGTTGCTACTCACCCAGTTCCACGAAGACCGCCCAGCCCCCCGAGGTCGAGGCCGACCCCACTGCAGAGGCCATCAGGAGCCAGCCATGGAGGAGGGGTTACTGTCACACACCGTCACAGCCCCAATCATCACTCAATCACCAGGACCCGCCCACTCGTTCACAATCACCAGAGTACTGGTGACTCGTTGCACCTGCACTCCATCAACACACCCTTTATATGTCCCTTTCACTCCTTGTCTGGTCTTGTTGCAGTATAGACTCCTTATTTACCCACCTGAGATCGTCTCGTCCTGTATCCAGTCTACTGTCCGTCTTCCGTCTATCATCCTGATCCAGATCGCCTGTCTTCGTGTTCACTCGTCACCTGCACAGAGAATCCACTTCAGTCATCGCCTGCTAAGTCACCATCATTCTACAAGTCACCATCCTCTCACCATCACCTGGTTCCCGTTCTTCTTTCAAAAACATATAATCTTGCAAAACAAACTTTTGAACAGTAGTGTGCAGTGCAAGTTCTATAGGGCCCCTTCACATTCAAAGCTCGTCTCGACAAACTTTGCTTTTCTCGATTTAAGTACAGTTGAATTTCTTAAAAATAATTCATTTGAATTCTTCCTTGCATTCAAATTTGAATTGCAGTTCAGCATCCTACCCCAGTTTAAATTGAGTAATTGAATTGGATTTGAAAAGACATTCTCAATTCATTCTTCTCATTTTATTGGGCAAAATCAACCTTGTCGCTTAAAGTATGATTATATGGGCAGCACGAGTTTGAGGCCAAGGGGCCTTGCTGGAACCATGATCCCGCCCTGAATGTAAGACTACCTAAGACCTGTTTATCTGAAGACTGTGCCTTACACACTCTCTCCGAACAGCTTCACCCTGGCTGTAATCAATAACATTCTCATCCCTCCACTCATCTTACCATTCCATCCTCCTCTTTTTTTCATTGATCAATGATTCACTCTTTTCTCCGGGGTGTAGAATTTCTCTCTTACTACAGTGTGAAATTACATCTGTATTTTACAAGACAAAAGCCTACACAGAGTCTTTACAACAACAAAAAAAACTTCAACATATGAACAAATAGTCACAATAGTAGCAACAGATCTTTTCAATTCAATTCAATTCAAATCACTTTATTCATCCCCAATGGGGAATTTTAATGACACAAAGAGTAGCTACCATATTGTGACATACTTCAAAGTTTAACGGATTATCGAAAACAAAATGTAGGGTGGAGACTGCTTCTGTCCTTGATAGTGAAATGTAGGGATTGGATGCATGCTCAGTCAATTGAAGAGGAGCAGGGTTTAAGCAAACAAAGGAACCATTTACGCTACACCATTTTCAACCAAAACGGAAAACCTTTTATGAGTTTTGTCCATCCATTTACACAACAATGATATTTTAGTGGCCTGAAAATGCAAACTTTTGAAAACGGAGTTAAGGGTATGTTTACATGACAACAATGTACTAAATGCGGAAACGTTTTTAAAAACTTTTTTTTTTTTTAAACGGTGTATTATGCTGGCAGGCCAATAGTTGGCGATGTCACTTTGTAAAGAAACACCATGCATGATGTCACCGTTTTCACAAATATGCGTTTTTGTAGTTTATGATATGATATGATAACGGTATCGTTTTCAAAAACTTGCACTTTGAAACCTTTTTATTAAGAGTTTGCATTTTCAGGCCCCCAATACATAGCCTGGTAATACCAGACTCTGCTACTTCACTTTGCTTACAGGAGCGAAATGAAATTAGCGGAAGTAGGAAGTCTGACGTAGTCAGGCTACCCAATACGCTGTTGTCTTGTAAATGAATGGCCAAAACACATACAAAGTTTTATGTTTTTAGTTTAAAACAGTGTTGTGTCAGGCCAAGAAGTTACTTTGGCTTTACAGAGTAGAGTGACGCTATTAGCAGCAGACTTGATCAAACTTTACGCTATTCGAATGATGTGGTGATATCATTTGTGATGTCACTTCCTTCCTACCTTACACAATCAAGTCTAATCTATAGGTTGAAACAAATTAGGTTAACTGTCAAGACCTGCACCAAACAAATATTTTGCTGTAGTAGTGGAATGGTGGAATAGTGCAAACAAAGGTAGTTTATGTATTTGTTTGTCTAGACTAGCTTTCACTGAATCGAAGAAGCATAGGGACCTCTAACGTCATTACACAGCATGAATTGTGGTCCACTGATAATGAGATCTGGTGTTTAGTAGACAGGCTGTTCATGTTGTCCTCTCTACATGACTCATAGTATAAACCCACTAAACTTAGCATGGGTTCACAACTGATGATCCCGCACTTATGCACACACAGGAGCCCGTAACCATGGTAACATTGAAAACAGGAATCAAATTAATCCATTCTGGGTCACAGATGTGGAATTTAGGTCATAGACTTGCATAGATAGCATATATCACTCAATTGTAAGCATTGTAACTGCATCAAGAGAGTATAATTGGGAAAGAACATGCTTAGATACAAAGCATTTGCATTGGAAATGAAGACCCTCTCACCCTGAAACTGATTCCCTGCTGCACTCAAAATTGTGTGTATGTGTGTGTGTGTGTGTGTGTCTTTTGCTTCTATTCTTCAAATCATGTCAAACTCAGTGACACACTAAACATTACATTTTCCACATAACACAATCTGTTTTCCAATTAGTCGTCTATGGATGTTTACCAATTTGCCTCAGCTTGAAATCTGTACAACCATTAACCGATTCATATGACGCATAAAAGCATTTGTTTATAAAAAGGAAACAAATGTGTGAGAGAAAGAAAGAGTGAACAGACGTATGAACCTCCTGGGTTACAATGTTGTGCTGTTCAGATTGGAAAGAGAAGGAGAGAATTCTGGGTATGTCCTTCCTTCCTTCTGCTGCTGCTATTAGGTTTTCATCTCAGCTCTTTTATTGGCATCCTATATTGAGGAGTCCACTCCAAAACAGCGAGTCCCAAAAGAGCAGTCAGAAAGATGCACTCACAGACGAACTCATTTTCTTTTCAATGCCCCTGCATACCTTACTTGGCATTGACAATGAACAGCTAGGGTTCAAATTGTGACTTAAAATGCCATTTTTTATGTTAAAGTATTATTAATTTTTTCATTTTCATCAAATGATGAATAAAAAGGGTGCTGAACTTTATGAATGTTCATCACTATCTGTAATGGTGAAGCGGGTGCAAGAAGAGTTGAGGATCTGTTAGCAAGCAAACATAATCCAAACTGCAAGGCGATGGCAATAATTCAAACACGAAGGCAGAAAAAACAGGAGATGCAACAGCTTTAAATAGAGGTGTAAAATGACCGACAGACCAGGACTGAAACACAGGAGTATAAATACACTGGGTAACAACAGGCTACCAACGAACAGGTAAAGGTGATTAGTTGTCATGTTGACTAACAAGGGTAGCTATAGAAAGGTAAACAGGCACTAAACCACAGGAACTGAACACAGACAATTTTATACTACCATTCAAATGTTTTTAATGTTTTTGACTCTTTTGTTTGCATTCATTTGATCAAAAATACAGTAAAAACAGTAGTACTGTGAAATATAATTTAAAAAAATTGTAATGTAATTTAAATTTCTGTCATACAGTATGTGATCCTTCAGAAATCAATCTAATATTCTGATTGGTGTTCAAGAAACTTTTATTATTATTATTATTAATATTATCATTATCATGGTATTATACTAAAGCCTTGCCTGTTTAAATAGGCAAACAAAAAAAATCTAAATAAATGATCAAGTGTTAGCATGTGGCCATGCAAATATATAAAATATTAGATAGGCCTTCTGTAAATAAGACCTATCAAGAGACATGTTTTTGAGTTTATCGAATAGATTCATGCTGCGAAAAAAATGCATAAAGAGAGAAAGCATTAGAGAGGGAAAGAAAGAAGCTACAATAATAGAAATCTCTAGGGAATGGTGAGTGGTTGGTGAGGTCTGAAAGCTTGGACAGGAATGTGGGCGCAGCAACTATAGACTAAACCTATATTCTGTAATGAATACACACTGCCACCTTCAGATCACAAACAGAACTACCATGAACCCAAGTCCACCTTAGTGTACTGCACACAGATATCAAATATTATTTTACAAAATATGCCAAAAATCAAACCGAACCTATCAAAAATACAAAATGCATCTATGCCGTGAAAATATTAGCACATGTCAAACAAACAAGTTTACTGTATGTTTGCATACTAAATGCAACGTGAATACAAGATTTTATGGAAATGTGCCATGTTCAGAAAAGCATTGACTATTTCTGTGGTGTATATTAATAAGTGCATATTTTCTGTATGTAAGAACATGATGAAAAAAATGTTTTGTATTTTGTTCTTTCAACTACTTTAATTACAGTTTTTCTCAATTGTTTACACACAAATTTCTGGTACTTGAGACACAATGACCACAACATGTAACTCATTCACCAACCCCCTGAACCAATTCTGCTGAACTACAAGCACAATTCCTGCTTTACACTCAAATTGCAGTTCTAAAACACACTGTTTTCAAAACACTACACACACAAATTCTCTGCATTTGGCACAATTTTCATGCAGAAAATCTCGTTTTCACGAGGAACACACTGCCATTCAAATATTCACACTGACTCGTCACATTAGCAAACACACGTCACACAGTTTTACAATTAGCAATCAGAGCTTTAGCATAAAATACCAAAACCGAAGAGAGGATGCAGCATAGATTTTTTTTTTTTTTTTACTGTAACAGCATACACATTTTTTTTCTGTTGTTTTTATGTAGTTGGTTGGGGTGTATGAAATGTGCGATCTATCTCCCATTGTTTTTGTGGGAAAAATAAAATATATTTGTTACCGTGTATTTGTGTGTTCTATAAAAACAATATTCTCAATCTCAAATATTTTACAACACACTAATGTATGTAATGTCTGTAGTACTGTAAGTGTAACACTGAACAAAAAGAACAAAAAAGGCCCAAGTCATTATGATAAATGGAGAAGAAGTGTTAATGTTTTCCATTGATCATAGTGTTTTACATTGAGCACATCAGTGTTCAACTGGTATATAATGGTTTGCGTGTGTCATTTGAAAATAAAATACCATTTTGAGAATATATTACATTGTTTTAAATGTGAAGTTTCATTTTGCACAAGAATTGAGGGGTTTTGCCGATTGTGTGAGTGTTTTTAGATTTGTATGTAGAGTTCTGAGTATGAGGCATACTAGCAGGAAATGTGTGTAAACAATAGAGAAAAACTGTAAACTCAACAACTTAGATTTTTGTGAATATTTTAATTAAAAACTAAGAGGAGAAATTGTAAAAACACAATTTGCTCATATTTACCAAGGGTGTCAATAATTGTGTAGCCCACTGTATTATACAATGTTATGAGGTAATGTGACAACAATGTAGTAAAATACAGTACTGTACTGTAGTAAAATACAGTACTTTCACACGTGTGAAACAGTTGGGTACAGTTTTCTTTATCAGGATAATCTTCACAAATGTACACAACTTTTATGAATTTTGAAGCCAAAATACAAGAACGATATAGCCTTTAAACGTACTACACCGCTGTCATACTTTAATGTCACCACCATGAAGCTTCCTACAACTCTTTCAGACTTTCTCAAAACATTTTCCCTGATAGTTTGAGTTTTATTAAATTTTAAATAGTGCAATTCTAAACATAATGAAAAATCTGCGCACAAATTAGATGACTTTACCTGCTTGGCCTTGGTGTGATGATGTTTATTGTCCCCGACAGGCACTTGTCAGCAACCGCCTTTTTCAAGACAAAAAGCTTTAAAGGGGTGGTTGATTTTGATGTCACTTTTCTCACTTTAGTTAGTGGGTAATGTTCCTGTTTGAGCATAAACAACATATGCAAAGTTACAACGCTCAAAGTTCAAAGCAAAGGGAGATATTTGCTTTTAAAGAAATCGTTTTTAAGGACTACAACAAACGGCTGGTAGGAACTACATGAGCTTCCTCCCGGGATAGTGACATCACTAAATATGTTAACCCTAAAACGCCCCGTGAACACGCAGTCCATGGCATGTTGAAAAGAGGAAGAGCAACAGTCACTCTGTGTGCATCTCACAACAGTTCCTATACAAGCAATTTATAGATTATTGTGACAGAATATGCTAATTGAAGATAGTTAACTATACATCAACAACAAAAAATTCACCAACCATTCAGAGATGTCCTGTCCTGTTGCATTCCACATGTTGTCACTTCTTCTTGAGTCTCTCCATCTTTGTCTGACTCTGGTTTAAACATAAAAGGCCGAACAGTTTCTGACATTTTAGTATTTGCATGAGGTAATCAGAGTTGCTAACACACACACACCCTTGAAGCTCCGCCCACATGTGTCGGGAGCTGCAGCTCATTTGCATTTAAAGGGCCAGGCACAAATGGCGTATTTTTTGCTAATCCTCAAAAAGTGACAACTTTAGCATGCTATATAAAATATCTCTGGGGTATTTTGAGCTAAAATTTCACATAGACACTCTGGGGACATCAGAGATTTATTTTACATAAATAAATTGCAGCACTTGCAAATTCAGTCTATGTGATTTGTTCTATGCCAGTCTTGGTAATCTGTTTCAGATAGCCCGAAACGGCACGTAAAACAAGAAAGAACCTGTCAAAGCGGGTGGTTCTTGGCAATAAAGTGTGGACTGTTAGGCCTTGTCCCAAATGGCATCCTAAACCATTTTTCTAAATCTGCCCTTTCGAAACGTAACGCTGCTTTGACTGTCAGTCTGCTGCAAATGCTGCTTAGAGCCAAATGACGTCCAGCTCCAACTCTCCGAACATGATAGGTGGAGTTAAGTTTAATGATAGGGTTATATTTGTGGGATTAGGGTGTGGATAGCCCTCTCCTGGCCAGCACACCAAATACGCATACATTACTATAGCCTATCCGATTTCATGTACGTGTAAACTCGTGAAAATGACAAATGAGACACCCCTCCTGGACTTCTCGATCATGCACACACTGCAGCCAATGTAAGTCCACAAGATCGTAAGTGCATATGATGTGTGCCATTTGGGACTGGGCCTTAGTATAATGTAATGGTCAATAACTGGACTGAAGTTCTCCCTTTTTCCCCCTGCAGGCATGTATATGTCGGTGCAGTACAGCTTTTTGTACTCAGGCCTCTCAGGGTTTAATGGTGCTCTGGGTTGCATGGTCGTGGGGGCATTTTTCTTATTTAGTTGGAGAACACATCTCTTATCTATTGCAAGTGGTGAGTAATGCACATATACATCCTTTATAGTGTAGTTTTATTGTTCTACAACTAAATTATATATTCCCACTGCAGCCTTACTTTCAGCTTACACAGACATTGCCTTGAGCAACCTGCTAGGACTTGTGAGTAGACACACTCTCTCTCTCACACACATACACACACACACACACACACACACACGTACATCCTCTGGGTTTCATATTCATCCAATGTTTGTTTGTATCCCTTTTACCTGTGCAGGTGGGTCTCCCAGCAAGCAGTTGGGCTGCAACTTTGACAGGCACTCTCATGCTGTTGCTGACAGGGGATAACCTTAAAGAATACAGAATCCCTACCGGAAAAGTAACCTCACCAGAACAGAACTTGCACTCACACAAGCAATGGTCGGCGGCCAATACAAATGCAACTGAGGCATAGTGTTTAAATAAATGCATATATAATATAGAAATACACCGCTGTGACAGCACGCATTTAAAAAATACTAGAAAATTAATTTATTCAGCAAGAATGGATTAAATTGATCAAAAGTGACAATAAATAGTTTTATAATTTTACTAAATAAATGTCATATAAATGTCTTGCTATTCTTCTAAAGTACTAAAAAATGTATCACGGTTTCCACAAAAATTTTAAGCAGCACTGTTTTTAATGATAATAATACATAAATATTGCTGAAAGCAACAATTATCAAGGTTCAAGTATTTTAAAGCCTTTAAGCGCATGAGATCAAAGATGGAAAAATACCATTTACAGCCAACACAGGCAATTTCCTCAGGAAATATATGTTTTTTTAAGTGTTATAGCGCCAACTATGGTCCAATCTTGATAAAAGTTGGCATGCTTCTTTAGAATCATATGCTGCATGTGCTCACCTAATTGAATCAAAATGTGTGTATATATATATATATATATATATATATATATATATATATATCAGATATTACTAAGGCAGTGAATGTAAATATAGAACATACACATAAAAAAAAAGAGACATTTTTCCAGAAAGGAAAGATTTTAATGATGCTGTAAACACGTTTTATTCCATTATTACAAAACCCGCAGTTGTACTGTACCATAATCTTTAAAAACATTAAATGCAATCAATTTAACATTTAATATTACTACCTAAGCTTAGACCTTTCAGTTTATATATCACAATTCTGACATTAAAACCTGCAGAAATAGTGAAAGTGCTCTAAAAATGTAAAACTGGATGCCTTAAAGTTAGCATGCACAATCAAAAGTGTCTTTTACCATAAATGTACAAAAATACCAGAAACTAGCAAAGCAAAAATCAAAATCAATGAGATTACATCAAAACAATATAAAATCAATGGAACAAAAAGCTAATTTAATTTATGATTGCCCATGGGGATTAAAGAAGGCTATTGGTTAAACATCAGAAGGCATATTATTGGACTTGTGGACACACGTGCATACAATGAGTGAGCGAGTGTGTGTATGTGTGTAAAAGGACAAAACAAGATGGCTAGAGCTAACAATTTTGCCTCAGAAAATTAGTGAGTGTGTTTGTGTGTGTGTGAAAGAGAGAGAATTCATTCAAAGGAAAAGCTATAAAAAGACACAATGATTCATCAATCTTGAAGCAGTTGCAGTCTGGGCTCCTTCAGCACATTGGAGGAGCTATTATGTGTCTTCAAGAGTCTGCTTTGTGAGCATGTCCATGACTGGCTGGAAGGAAGATTGCGTGTGTGTGTGTGTGTATGTGTGTGCGTACACTGAATACAAAAGAGAAATATTGTGCTTTTTGCTCCTACAGCCATCCACAGCTGCAACACAGACACTTTCAATAAAAGTAACAGCAAGTTTTATAAGCCAAAGGTTTGTGCGAAGACTGCGAACCAATAGGAGAGCTCTAGATGCACAGTGCAGTGAGAAAGCAAACAGATGAAGCTGTAAACAAGTCATCACTATTAAATGATCATTTTGTCCCTTATGTTTTATTAGTAATTCTTTACCTGCCCCAGCTTTGACCATAAAGCCTAAAGGCCTGTTCACACCAAGTTCAATGTGACTAAATGTCAGGAAATTATAAAATAATCACAAAAAGTCCCTACAGACAATCTCTGATAATCCCACAACTACTATCAACTGTTTTGTTTTTCTTAGACCACATACATATACCTACATTTCACTAAATTCCTGTGCTATTATTCAATGTGTGGTTTTTGTTAAATGTTTTCATTCATTTTTACTGTGGCTTGCACTATTGTAAATAAAATATTAACAAACTAAATATTTTCTCACTAAAACAAATCACAATCTGTCCAATGCCAAATTTTAGTTTCTGAAAAAAAAAAAAAAAAAAGTATCCAAACAACTTAAAAAAGTCATATCATCATAGTATGATATTTTTGATTTGATTTTGGCATGCAGGATGCATTGTTTCATTCAATTTTTTCCTGCCAAAATTCAGACCTGTGAATCGACCTCACCAAGCACTTTCTAAACCCAGCCATTTTTCTAAGTACAACCATAACCCCAGCTCTGGTCTCAAACATGGCAACATGTTGATCTAAAAACTTGATCAAAGACTGTACCCTGTGTGTTTTGACTATTCGCTTATAACAGCCTCCCTAAAACCACGCCCTCTCTAGGTTGTGCTTCTCCACGGAGGATCTCCAGAAATCCCAACTTAGTCAGAAATTCCATCCGTAATCCATCTGTAGGCTGGACTTCGCAGAATACCCCCTGTGAACCTGAGGAAGAAACACTCAGTTAGTATGGCTAATCTCTTGAATAAAAGGCTAAAATGCTTCAAATTACAATCAGTGTTAGCTCACCGTTCGCTTTGAGGGCCGTTAACAAGGCTGTGAGGAGACTACGACTGACGCTACTGTCCACCAGATCAGGAAGAGCCTCAAGCCTGAGCTGAGATGGGAAATGATATAGCAGGGAGTCTGGGTAGTCGTGTTCTTCATGGAAAAACAGCAGGGCCTCCTAGGGTTTCAGAGAGGAGAAAGTGCAATTTATTCCATGTCAGGATTAGGTTACTACTGCACTATTTTAAAAAATAATGTGGTATGGTTGTGTCTCTAGGTTTGTGTTTAGCTGTAACTCTGACTTTTGTTGCAGTATGTCCACTGGCCCCATGGGGTCGTGAAGGATATTTGTCCCTCATAGCAGGTAGCCAGGTGGCCTGACATCGTTTGGCAAATGAGCGGACATCCAGAATGCCCACAGCGCACCCACATACACCTAGTTCATCCTCCAGAACTAAGCTGTACTCTGGGCACAAGGCCAGAGACCCACCCAGACACCTGAAACACAAACAGTTTGATATTTCTCATTTACCTCAACTGATTTTCAGGACTAAGAAGAAATATATTAAGGCATTACGCTTGAGTGAAACCTCATTTTCAGCTATTTTCTCACCGAATCTATCTTCCTATATACACACACAACCGTTTGTGAAAAAAGTCTCTTATGCTCACCAAAGCTGCATTTGTTTGATCAAACATACATTAAAAACAGTAATATTGTAAAACATTATTCCAATTAAAATAACTGTTTGGTAGTTTGATATTTTTTTAAATGTCAATTATATTTCAGATGCCAAAGCTGCATTTTCAGCAGCCTTTACTCCAGTCTTCAGTGTCACTTGAAATAAATATGATGTACATTATAAATGTATTTAATGTCACTTTTGATCAATTTAATGCATCCTTGCTAGATAAAAGTATTAATTTCTTTTTTTAAACCTCAGACTCTAATATTTTTAAAATTCTAATTTGCAAATGTTTCAAACAAATAAATACTAAACATCAAATCAAATGGCTTATTTGTGTATTGTGATTCCTATTTATTTCAAAGTGTAAACGTGTTAATTTTAAACGTTTTTTTCTTGGCATGCTTCTTTAGAATCATATGCTGCATGTGCTCACCTAATTGAATCAAAATGTGTGTGTGTGTGTATATATATATATATATATATATATAAAATATCAGATATTACTAAGGCAGTGAATGTAAATATAGAACATACACATAAACAAAAGAGACATTTTTCCAGAAAGGAATTATGATGTACATTATAAATGTCTTTAATGTCACTTTTGATCAATTTAATGCATCCTTGCTAGATAAAAGTATTAATTTCTTTTTTTAAACCTCAGACTCCAATATTTTTGTATGTATCAGTATGTATACATACAACTTAATATAACCTCAGACTCCAATATTTTTAAAATGAGTATGTATCAGTACATATTTATTTTTATAAGTAATGATTATATATTGTATTTTTGATCCTAATTTTCAAATGTTTCAAACAAATAAATACTAAACATCAAATTAAATGGATTATTTGTGTATTGTGATTCCTTTTTATTTCAAAGTGGAAACGTGTTAATTTTAAACGTTTTTTTTTTTTAATCTTAGGAATCAGTGAGTGCAATTAGATGATATAGTTTCTTAATTCATACTCAGACGGTGAACATTTTATATGTGGGCTGTGATATGAACAAAACATTTTAAATGTGGGCTGTGATATGAACAGAACATTTTATATGTGGGCTGTGATATGAACAGAACATTTTATATGTGGGCTGTGATATGAACAGAACATTTTATATGTGGGCTGTGATATGAACAGAACATTTTATATGTGGGCTGTGATATGCTTGAGAGCAATTCTTGCCTGTCCCCAATGAAGTCTGGATGGGAGATGGCAGCATCCTGGCTCATTTTACCCCTCTGATGCAACTGATGCACCATTCGGTACAGCTCCACCTAAAGTTTTGTGAAGAAAACAACAACAAAAATAAGAGTGATAAATGTATAATGAGGTGCGAGTCAGTGGGTTAACAAGTATGCTTGAGTCACCTTGTCTTTTTGCTGGAATGGCCGTATGTTGTAAAGTCGAGATGTGGGGAACAGAGGGGGAGGGTGACTAAATAACTCGCTGCTGGTCCCCACAGGCAGAAGCATCTGATTCACACCAGCACCAGAGAAAGAAAAAAAAAAACAGGAGACAAGAAAACAGGAAAGACGAAGACAGGAAAAAAACAAGGAGACTGTAAAAAAAAACTACACTAAATGGATCAGGCAATTTACACTAATTTAATGAAATAACTGTTTTTTTAAACTGAATCATTAATTATATCATTCCCACCTGCACCTCTCCAGACAGCCCCCCTTTAAACACCCATGGCTCTGCCTCCACACCATGTAGCTCCGCCCCTGAGGAAGCTCCACACCCTGTCAAAAATCTCAAAGCATCAATCATCAACAATATCAAAGCATCAGCTTTTATGCATCATGCTACTGTTCAATAGATTGAGGTAATTTTGTTAAATGCATGACATCTCTGCATTTATTTGATAAAAAAACAGAGTTAAAAACATTGACATAGTGGAATACTATTAAAATTTTAAAAATCAGTTTTCTCTTTTAAAATATTTGAAAATGTAAAGTATTCCTGTGATGGCAAAGTCAAAGTTTCAGCAGCCATTACTCCAGCCTTCATTCTGATTTGGTGCTCAAAAAAACATTTCTTTTGTATTATTAATGCTGAAAACAGTTGTGTTGCTTAATAATTTTGTGGAAACCGTAATAAAAAAATTCCAGAATTCTTTGAAGATTAGAAAGTTCAAAATAACAGCATTTATTTAACATTATAAATCTCTCTTCACTATCCAGTTTCATCAATTCAATGACTTAAAATATTGAGCAAAAGATTCTTTCAAAAAAAGGTGTTACTGACCCCAAACTTTTGTACAGAAGTAGCGCAAGAGAAGATAACCAGTCAATGATGACTTAAATTTCTGTATTTTCCTCAACCAAAGCTAGTATATGGCTTCGAAAAACTGCAGAAATTAATGTGCTACAGTATATACAGTATGTGCATGTTTGACACTCACAGTGGAAGCAGTTTTTCCAAGAGTCCAGTGGAAAACCATCACTCAGTATACGACCCTCTGTGAAAGGAAATATGCTTGTGAAAAGATGGGAGATGAGGGTGGGAAACTGCAGGATCTACAGGACAAAACTTCAATGGTGATTCACGCTCAAAATAAAAAGAGTTCATTTACTTGTTTTACTACTTCATTTACTACTCGTTTATCACATGGTGGAAAAAACCTACATGAGAAGACAAGATCCTCTCTTCTTAATCATCCATACTACAGTATCTCTCTCACCTAGCCAGCAGATGAAGGCCTTGGCCACCAGCAGGGTGTTTCTCAGGTCCCAGATGTAAGGGTAAAGGTCATAGAGAACAGCCCTATTGATGCTGTTCACAAAAGCACTGTGCAGTATTGCCACATCATCACACACGGCCAGAAAACGGCCTGCACGGGCCCGCCAGTCCTCTACCTGAGAGAGCAAGAGAAATATTTACAACAGAAAACACATTCCATATTCAATACAAATATTTAAATAATTCATATATTATGAACTACATCTATGTTGACTCATTTCAGTAGCATTCACAAACAGATCGAATGACGTGTGAATCAGGGGTGTATAGAAAATATTTAATAAAAAGGATGTTTTCACCTTCTGTGGCGAGGCCTTCTTGCCGTTGACACTGACGCAGTGACAGTTGGCTTTGAGCCACGTGAGATCCTGCAGGAGATTCTGAGCGGGTGGTCCGTGTTCATGTGGCAGGAAGTACAGGCCAACCAGCAGCCGGACCTGGGCCTCGCTGAGAGGAGCCCTCCCAGAACTCAATCCCCTTCTAGAGCTCTTTTCATGGCTTGTGCTCCAGGAGACCTGGTTCTCCCCAGCTTTCAGATCCTGGCTCATAACTGAGTCTGCTGGGATTTCATCGCTAGCAAGAGCCCCTGTGCTCTGGGAAGAGGTTATGGGAGATTTGGGCTGGGCTTCACATTGATTGTCTGAGCTTTCGGAGGACTTTGATTTAACAGAGAGTTTTGAGAGCTTGGGGTCTGTTGGCCTCAACTGGCGTCCTAAAAGAAAAATTTTAGAAACTTTTGTGAAATAACTGGACTAAAAGATCTGATTCAAGTCAGCAAAGAGATTCTATGTGACCCGTGGGCAGTGTTGGGGGTCACTCATTTCAAGTAATGCGAGTTATGTAATCAGTTTACTTTTTTCAAGCAACAAGTAAAGTAACGCAATACTTTTAAATTTACAACAAAATATCATTTACTTTTGTGAGTTAAAAGCAAAATCAGCATACTACATAAACCTCCAATAATTAAATATGTTAAATAAAACAAATATTTTCATGCATTTCGCGCCACTTAAAAAGAAAATGAAGAAATCAATGATCAGTAAAAGTAAAACTACTAAGAATTGTTTTCGTTAATTGAAAAAAATTAAATTAGAAAAACTTTAAGGACGATTAGAAATATTGATTTGGAAACTAGCAGAGATACGTTGAAGTATTAAAATTACTACAACTATATATAATTTTAAAGAATATATAAATTAAAGAAAAATAGAAAAATATTTTTAAATGACAAAAGCACATAACAAAATTACTAAAACTAAAATTAATATATAAAAAATAAAGCTAATTTAAAATAAGTAAAAATACAATAATAGTATAAAATAATACTAAAATAACACTGTCAAAAATCAATATAATATAATATTTATTTTTATTATTACATTTTATTACATAATAAAGAAAAAATAAATTTATTAAAAACTAATGTAAATGTACATTCATGCATTTTTAAATTTTAAATGTAACAATTTATTTTACAGTGATTTATTATTACTAATATATATATGAAGAGTTCAGATGCAAAAGCCTCTAAGTGCCATTTTAAATTTTCTTCTAGAATGATCATTTTTATAAAGCTTGTATATTTAAATTCAGTAATTTCACTTAAATTGCAATGAAGATTACCTATTAATTGTCATTTAAGTGAAATTACTGAACTTGAATATATAAGCTTGATAAAAATGATCATTTTAGAAGAAAATTTCAAATGGCATTTAGAGGCTTTTGCATCTGAACTCTTCATATATATATATATATATATATATATATATTAATTCGAATTTAACAGCTAAAACTAACACACAAAAAAACGTGAATACATGCATGTATTAAACTCAGATGTGATCAATAATTTTAAAGGTAAAGTGTATTTTTTTTTCAATGTCTATCCCAGTTGAATATGGGTGTAATAACTAATATAAGTGTGTAAAAACTGTGTAAGGGTGGATGTTTTACCAGGCTGTAGAGGAAGGCTGAGTTCCTTCATCCAGTCTTGCAGGGCGGCTGACAGCGCTCTATCCACCCTATAGGCCTCTTCATCACCTACAGAGGTCAAACTGTGTCAGCAAGGAGCAGAATGTTCCTTTATACACTTTATTTTACTTTTTTACATTTATGCATTTGGCAGATGCTTTTGCATACTATAATATTTGAGCTTCTCCATGTTCTCATTCCTCTCTATCCTCCTTTACAGTGTATGCCCAATTCTGCTCTCACCTTTCCCCTCTTCCTTCACTTCTTTATGCCAGCTTCCCAAGGTATGCAGAGGGATGAAGTTGGCTTCAAACTCGCAGTTTGGATTAAGCAGCAGACCCCTCAGATGGGACCTGAGTCCGGGGGGGCGGCCCTTAAAAGGCCCCAGGAAGACACGTCGGGAGTCATAATCATTAGCATGGAGGTTGTCCCAAATGAGTGGTGGCCGTCGAAGCACCATCTGAACCTCTGCTAACGATTCGGCACTCAGTTCCCGAGATATCACTTTATTTCCTACAGGAGAGTGAAAGACAAATATGTATTGTAATGTTACAAATGTGGTTTACGTTTATGTAACTAACTGAAATTGGCTATGTTTCCATCCACCTATTTTTATGCACATTTTGGGATATTGCGTAAAAAAATGATGGAAGTGCCAAGATGCAGATCAATTCTAAAAAATGTGCATAAAACAGGTTTAAAAAACTCAATTGGTGGACATTTTTTTATCCGATAAGAAGACTTGCGGATAAACTATGACGGAAACATATTTACTGAATAAATCCCCTGATGCACAACAAAATACTTGCATGACTTTGCCTCAACAGAGGATGGTATTGGATAAATGGACCAGTGGATCTCATCGCACACATCTCAAATGTTGGGTTTGGTCATTCTGAAATGTATGAGCCAAAGTCTGTCATCAAAATGGTTGGCTGGAATTCCCTCCCAGAAGCTTCTCACATGATTGCATTCACAAACACCAGCCATCCGAACGCAAGATAACATCACAGCGTTCATGGCGTTATGTCTGCGCGCTCTGAAATGCAAATAATTTATGATGTACAAAAAAGAGCCACAGTGGCTTCCCCGATTACACCAACTTCTATTTTTATTTTGCAGAAAGTGACAATTGTATTCTCTTGAACACATGGGGTGGAAGCAGTGCTTTATTCGATATTCTAGTTTCGCGTAAAAGTGAAAATTGCAACTTTGGATGAAAACATAGCTATTGTGTGAATTTTTAAAGGACATGCACATGTCTCTTACCGGTCCAGATAACAGAGATGCCAGGGAGAAGATCCTCCCCAATCATCAGCATGTAGGGAGACTTTGACACGCTGGGAGTGCACAGAGAACTACAGTACTCTAGAGAGAAAAGAAATAACAGTACAATACTGTTTTATGGGAAGGAATGAGAGAAAAAAGTAAGAAAAGACAGAGAATGTTGATGGGAGATTTGTCACTCAATTAAAATGATTTTATACTGAACAAAGCTTGATATATTTATGTATCGGCCTACCAGTGGGACAGAAAAGGAAGACAGGTGGTTCCCCCAGGAAACGGAAGATCTCATTGGCCACGGTGACCTGGGCGTGAGCGAATGAGGAAAAGGCCTCTGTATCTGACTGGCACATGGAGTGATCAATGTCATCAAATAGGAGGGCAAAAGCCTGACAGCCCAGGTCTGACACCTAGTGGTGAAATTAAAGAGAATAATGCATTCATGACCTAAATAGTCAAAGAGCAAAACAATATTTAAAACAATATTAACATGAAATAAACTGTAAAAAATGCATCTTTAATCACAACAAAGTGGGATGAAAATGAAAAGAAACAGAGGCAGAAAACAAGCGAGTTTTCTTACCTGTCTGAGTTTGCGTTTGAGTAGTGTGAGGTCACAAGAGCTGGAGAAGACGATGTCCTGACCCGGAGAAAGAGCGTACACAAACGTCAGACCCCTTGACTCTGCTTCACACACCAGAGCTTTCAACTGAGCTGGAGACAGTGAGAGGATGAGAAAGTGAAAGGTTTCCAGGTGTGATATGGCCCTTGCAATAATAATGATTAATTATTCATTACAATACATATATCAAGTTTTATACAGTTTACGATATGAAACTACAGGTTACGATTTGAAAGCCTACACTGTGAAAAAAACATATGATCAATAAATTATGAAGACATATGCTTTTACATTGCTTTAACTCATCAAAATAGGTCATTTTTTATAAGTTATACAAGATTCAACTATTTTTTTAAAGTGGTTTTCACCCAAAAAATGAATTTTCTGTCATTAATTACTCACCCTCGTGTCATTCCAAACCCTTATGACACAAATTAAAGATATATTTTAATGAAATCCGAGAGGTTTCTGATCCAGCCATGCAGCAACGTCACTGCACCTTTCAAGGCTCAGAAAGGTAGTGAAGACATCATTAAAATAGTCCATGTGACTACAGTGGTTAACCCTTAATGTTATGAAGTGACAAGATTACTTTTTGTCTGCAAAAAAACAAACAAAAATAGCGACTTTATTCAACATTTTCTTCTTGTCTGTGTCAGTATCCTACTCTGCTGATCTAGTAAATATATTTAAAGACTTTAAAGGGACTTTATGAGTGCAGCTCATAATTGCCGGCTCCAACGTTAGCATCACATGCATGCGTCGTGGTGCTCACGTGAAAAGCGTCAACCAATAATGAACTGGCATACTGATGTAGAACCCAGAAGCGAGTTTGGAATGACATGAGGGTGAGTAATTAATAAAGAAATTTCATTTTTGGATGAACTAACCCTTAAAGTTGAAATAAGTTTTAAAAAATTTAAAGCAGAAACTTTTACAGTGTAATGACAAAAGTACTGTAACCCCTCATACTTAAACATACCCTCTTCCTCTGCTGAATAAACTTCCCTCCACAGTAACCTGTGCTTCAGATCATCTTTAGGACCATACAGATATGTGTTCAAACCCCACATCTGCATCCTGAAAGGGAAAATGGATGCATTATAATAAGAAAAATATTTTTAATTCCTTTTCAAAATTATTGTGTAAGAAGAGAGCAAGACACGACAGGGAGAAAGAGAGAGAGACAGGCAGAAAATAGAGACATCCAATGATCTTGCATAATTAATAATATAAGAGGTCACATTTCCTGCAGAGAATGAGTCTGAGTTTAAAAACAGCAGATGGTCGATTCCTTTGCAGAGAAAAAAAATGTAATGGTCTGTCCCTCTATGAATATCATTCTATCTAAAAAACATTTATCTGGAGTGTAATATTTTATTGTTATTTTTAGTACAACCATTTCAATACCATGGCAATGTCCTCTTAACAAATATAGTAGGAAGATAATAATTACTGGCAAAATGTGCATTAGCAATGAAGAGTTTTAAGTCCCATGGGATAATTTTTCAATTTTTCAACTTCTTTTTTTATGATATGGTCACATTAAAACTGGGCGAATTCTAACCATGCCTTCATTGTTTGTTTTTGCTATTTTTAATTTTAATTATTTAAACACAAGTCAATCTTCACAATGGGCCCTATCATACAGCCGGTGCAATGCGCCTTTCACAGTTATCTTTTTCACATCCATGTTGGCTGGAATTCATGTTGGCAGCCCATGTCTGAGATGATCTGAAAATTAGGTGTTCAGGCTATTGGTGCGTTGCTATTTTGAGGCCACTTAAATAGACTGTGCCACTTACCAACTGAAACCTGGTCTTAAGTCAATGGTGCAGTATTTTTTATATATATATTTAAAGGGTTGATTAGTAATTTGCGCCTATAGGCTGGTCCACAACGTGCATACACTCTGCTTATTACACACACAGGGATGCGCAGCAGCACACAAACATGCCAAATATTACAAATAAAAGGATTAAAAATAAAAGATTAATATTCTGTACATAAAGATATGGTGGAATCCGGCTTGTGCCGTAGATGGTCTGCTTGCGCGATTTAACCTCACGCACGAGCTGATCCGTTTCCTCAGTAGAGAATCGGTTCCAATTCCACCATGTTAATAGCGAATCCGCCATGACGTGAGTTCAACTGGCTTTTAAAGGGAATAGGACATGACACTCTGATTGGTTTATTGCATGTTACTCCCAAAACACACCCTATACTCATTAAGAGAATAGGGACAACCCTTTAAGACCATGCGCCGGGCAACCTTTTTTCCCCTCGTTAAACTAGCAAAAGTGGATTCGGACACGGCCTTAGTGCCACTTGCCCTGTGACCATGTGCTTGGATTGTAAATATAGGGCCCAATGACTGAAGAAATTGTTTCCATTTTTCCCTTTAAAAATAACAGCATCAAAAAAAAGTCTGTTTGTGGTAACCAGCATGTCATTGAGATGAAATATAAGATACTAAATGTGAAGAAAATAAATACAAATTACAAATTAGTCACCCTAAAATGAAAATTCTGTCATTACTAGCCCTCATGTTGTTCCAAACACAAATGGAACAACATGGTTGAAACAAGCTCTCAGATTTCATCAAAAAGATCATTTGTGTTAAATGAAACCACTTCTGAAACAACATAAGGGCAGGTAATTACTGTAATGACAGAATTAAAATTTTTGGGTGAATTAACCCGTTAATGTACATTTTATAATCTAAAATATCAAATAAAACCCTATTTGCCAAAATTATTAAAAGTATATTATTTAATACTACTTACTTACCAAACATAAAATGCCAGCTATTACATAAAATTGAAGACAAAGTAGTATAGGCCATTTGTTTAAATAGACTACTGTGGAAAAATAATGTGAAAAGTGCTGTAAGAGAGTTTATTTAATAATTCTCAACAAGACGAGTAAAAAACGGAGAAAACAAGGTTTGTACAAAATCATTCAATTTCAAAAGTGTGTATGTGTGTGTCCTCCCATGAGAAAAGCAGACTCCCTAAATAGACTGAGGCTGAGTAAGTGATTGTCTAAATTATTAAAGAATCTCCCCAAATGTTAACCTCAAGCAAACGTGTGTGTGTGTGTGTGTGTGTACAATCACACACACACACACACACACACGCACAAACATACAAGCTAATTTTGGGTCTCTCCCTTTCCAACCTATTTAAAATGCTAATACACCGATATAATCTATCATTTTCACCCTCTTCCTCCCCCATTTTCTACTGCATCAGCACAATCGCTCAGCTCTCACTCAAGCGTGTAAAACTTCTCATCCCCCTTCGTTCGCCTGCACTATTAATCTTTTTATCCAGGGCTGAGTTTGGACCAAATGTGCATGTGTGCACATGTATGTGTGTGTGCGTGTGTGGATACCCTCTTGCTCCAAAATGGATTCCAATTGGATTCCAATGCACACTAATTTCTGCCAGTGATCAGAACCACAGATATGAACATATATGAACATGGGCCAGTGTGAAAGACTTTTGCGCCTTTTGATAAGGCGGTTGCTTGCCCTTCTAAATCAGTTATATTTTACATAGTAAGCCATTGTTTAAAGTCTTCTACGAAGATGTCGTGTGATTATATAGCTGTATTGCCATAAAATATTTATATTCCCTTATATCAAAGAATAAGAATTGGGAAAGAATGAGTGGATCATATGCAATTAATCATAATTACTTTTTTCTTTAAGTTTAAGATCATAAGAAGCTCTACTAAGGGAGGAGAACATGCCAGCTCACTGGGTAAAGTGTGAGTTTGTTCATAATGCAGCAGGAGCGAGAGAAAAACTGCTTTATGACTTAAGGGGAGCAGGGACTCAATACAGGACAGCATACAGTATACCTGTTTTAGATGCTTGCGTGTTGGTGTCACCATTAGGCTTCTTAGCTATATCTAAACCAAGAAGATTTTCTAGGTTAATCAGCTTGACCAACTCAGTTTTCCTGGCAAACATAATGGCTACCAGCTAGACCAGCACTAAACCAGATCAGAATAGACAGATTGTCTTTTCAGCAGGGATACCATCTCTCTTGTTTACAATCTGTCGTTTTTTTTCTCTTTTAAAAAAAAACTCTGAATGATATTTATTATCCTATTAGCTCGAAGACTCATAATACAACAACAACAATTACATTTATAGTTATAATGTTTTATTGTTATTATTATTAGCATCTTATTTCTATGTCTTGCTCTTTTTCTATGTCTTACTTCACCCTTGCTCTGATTCAAAGATGCAAGGGAAAATGGACTTGTTCCTTGCCATTGGTTTCAGCATGGTGTATGAAGATGTGTGAAACTGTGGCTCAGTGGAGTCATGCTGGCACCAATGTCCAGCCATTAGTCATAAAAAGCCATTTGTCTCTCTGCCCACACGCTTTTACACCTCTGCAACACACCAGCTGCTCTGTGCTGCCCCCTGGGCAGCCTTACTGGCACAGCTCTGATACCACCATGTTACCAATATGATCCAAATCAATATTGCATATTACATTGTATAACCCCACAGACTTAAAATATGTAATATTTTGTTTTCTTTTAGTAATGCAAGTGCATATAAAGAGAAATCTCATCATCCCATTTATGTAACTGCGTGTGTAGTCACTGATCCAATACTCACCATTGAAATAGAACCTTCCTTTGTTCCATTGACCAGGGTCTCCCATAGAAACCTAAGGAGTAGAGTATATTTATCACACATGCAGACACACACTTCTCCATTTACACAAGGCAGCATTTCATAACCGTCACAAATCTTCAGTATTTCAGTATATTCTGTTCTTTACAACCTCCTCTTCACTGCAACCCACTCAAAACAGGAGGGTTTTGGGCAGACTCTGAAATATGGGATTGGCGCATCCATCCCATACTGGACCCAGGCCAGGGTCATCACCAGAGGTGTGCATAAGGAAGCAGTGCAAGATTATAGACATCAAAGTTTTTTTAAAGCACTCTTAAGCAAGTAATCTGCATTGTTTTTAGGGTTGTCTGATGACGCTGAAGTTTATACATATATTCCGCTATTTTTACAGTGTTTTCTGTAAAACATTTCCCAGAGACTGCCATGATAAGTCTTTTTTGCTCTGAAAACTCTTTCTGTCTAAGTGGGTTGTTCTTGGCCAGAATTAGCTGCGATGACAAGCATATCTTTTTGCGAAAGCCTACATTGGTTCCAGCTTGCTTGTGAAGCAGAAAATATAAATTAATTTGAATAATTCAACATTTAAATATGCAACATTTTTGTAATTCATGAAATAAAAGTATTTATAAAACTATGGTACATATCACTGAAAACGTTACATCCATATCCACATTTTCAATATGCATCGATCCTTAATACCTCTACTGAGCGCTAATAAATACATTTTAAAAAATTACAAAAACTTTTAAAAGTTCACTGACAGTGTTTGGGATCGCACATCATTATGTCGTTCTAGAATTCTATAGATTTTGCTGCATTAGGAAAGACAGTGGTTGGTTATAGCCTAATTTATTATTCATGTTGGCTGCTGCCATGCTGATGGAAAAACATAACAATCCTATTTTCCTGCTTGATTTGCTTCAAATTATGAATATGAAGTGATTGGCCCTATTGCTATGTGAACAAAACAGTAGCTTAACAGAAAATAATGATGTCATCTTAATATCGAATGCCTTGTAGTCACATTTAACAGATTAGAGATGGGTAACGGAGGCCAACTAGTTAAAGCTGTGCAGGTAAAACCTCACTCCCATGATCCCAAGAGCCAGGCTAACGGATGCAGTTAGCGTTCTTGTTAACGTGCCCCGCCTCCCATGCCGGAGAGACCCAGATTCAAGTCCCGCTCAAAGTGGGTAGATTCAGAATGGTTACACAATGATAAACAAGCAGTTGAAACTTGATCGCTTTACCTAAGTGCACTGTATACACGGTAAGCTGGATTTACTTATATAGCCAGCCTAAATTTACTTTAATGTAAAGTATCACTATAGTTTTGATGTAAGGCTATTTCTTACCCTTCCACAAGTTCAAGCTACAAGCTTGCAGCTGTAAAACATAAGTGGGGTAAGAAAACAGTAGGGAAAAGCTACTGGAATCCCACAGGGTTCACTGGAGAGAAGAGACAAATAGCCCACCGGGCCAATAATGTGACACTGAACTACAAACAAGTAAAGCCAATTAGGAGATATGCACAACATGCATGTGTGTGTGTGTGTGTGTGTGTGTGTGTGTGTGTGTGTGTGTGTGTGTGTGTGTGTGTGTGGAAGGAGATATGTGTGTTTCTGGCCAGCTGCTTCCTATCACACTCTAGTAGCCTATGGAAATAAATACCCAGGATGCTCCAAGTCGGCTTAATAAGATGAATTGCATTGCAATACAAGCTCATAAATAAGAAATTAGTTATTTTAAAGGTTAATTATATGCGTCAGTATAGCGTGGTGATTATTTTGTCCCCGTATACAATAGTAGTAAATACTGTTTTGAAGATAACCACAGAAATTCACGTCAAACGTGCAATTTAACGAATACATCTGTATTTGTGTACCCCGACAAGCATTCAGAAAAAAGAATGTGTGCGTAAACTTACCTTCAACAACCCCGCATAAAAACTCGTGTCGTCCCTCCATCATCGCTATGATTGTCTGATCAGGATGCGGATTCAGTCTCTCCGGACTGAAGTCTTCAGCCGCGCATCCTCCCCTCCGACACACACAGAGCGCGTGAACTGAAACCGCAATTAAGCCATGAAGAAAGAAAAGAATTGCGTTTATTATTGCAGTTATGTGTTGTTGTTTTTAATCTTAAAACATTGGAAAACTATCAAACGTGGACGTTTCTTGGTTGTGTGAGCTCGATTCTGCCTCCTGTTTATTCGCTCAGTGCACTCTTCGCATTGTTGCCAGATCTCTCAAGAAAAACAAGCAACCTGATTCCAAAATGGTCCAATAAAGAATAAAGGTTAGAAAGAATAAAGAAAGAAAGAAAGAAAGAAAGAAAGAAAGAAAGAAAGAAAGAAAGAAAGAAAGAAAGAAAGAAAGAAAGAAAGAAACACTCCATAGGTGTTTATGAATTCTTTCAGCCAAACACAATCAGAGTTATATTAAAAACAATATCTTGGCTCTTCCATATTTTATAATGGGAGTGAATGGTACCTTATTTTTTGAAGCCCAGAAAATCCCATCCATCCTCCATGGGTTTGATAAAGGCCTTCCGAAGTGAAGCAATGCTTTTGTAAATAAAAATATGTATAACTTTATAAACTATAATGACTGGCTTCCAGTAACGGCTATAGCCTAAATAAGTCGAGTTTGAGCGGAAGAGTGACCTTTGACCCCACGCATGTATTGACAAAATGGGGAAGTGGAATCGCAGAGGAAACAGCAAAACTTAACACCAGTCACGAATTAGAAGTCTAAAACAATTTTTTCCTACATGCTACGTCTTACCCTGGAACTCGACTCTCTCATGAATGCTCTTACCCCCGTTACTGGAAGCTAATGATTACAGTTTATAAAGTAATTATGGAATTTTTTCTTACAAAACCGCATCACTTCATTTCACTTCAGAAGGCCGTTAACCCTGAAGCATATAAGGATTAATTTTATGATGGATGTGCTTTTTTGGCTTCAAAAAACAAGATAGCCTACCATTCACTCCCATATAAAGCATATGAATTAAGAGCCAGGATATTTTTTAATATAACTCTAATTGTGTTTGCCTGAAAGAAGAAAGCATACACCCAGGATGGCTTGAAACTTTTCATTTTTAGGTGAACTCAACTAACCATTAAGTCGATTCTGGGAGATGGCACAACACCCCACTACCACCATAGTGCCTATTGATATATATATAATTTGCGGGATGTGAACAATAATATCAATCATTTTAGGTATAATGTAAACGTCAGGGAGCCGCTATCATTATGGGGGACATTCCTGGACCCACCGGGAGAGGTGGGATGTGTCTGTATCCTTTTTTAGTAAGAGACTTAATGGGGGAAAAAAAAAGTCAAAAGTAGGTTATAATATGAGGACATGGCAACACTGACTCTACCGGTAAAGCATTTTGCTCCACCAAGCGGTCAGCGTGTAATAATATCAACACACAACAAATATCAATCACTGCTGCCTGTTCAAAATTGGATTTTCCTAAACAAAATTTAATTTCATTTATTAATTAATAAATCGCGTATAGGGGCTGGATATTAGTGGTAAATAGATTAAAACTCTTTCTTTTTGGATTTAAAGCGAATGTTGTCTAGTTGTCTTGGTTACACAGTGCAACCAACTGGGGGAGTGGAAAACGGCGTAACTTCATTAAATACGTTATTAGCGTTCCTTTTGTCGTTGTAAGTGTGCTGTAGCCTATTCGAGATAACAACTTGCCTAGGAGGTTTCAGGATGTCATCAATGAAGAAAAGCGAGTCAAAGAACCTACAGGACGCAAATGTCTCGGCTGAGAGGGCAGAACAGGATGAATCACATGAGATGCTGTTACACAGGGAGTGAGTTGAGTTGTCTGGACTAGAGAGATCCAAAGAACAGTTTAACTCACTTTTGACGTAGACAGTTCATTAATCTAGTTAATATTGCCTTGCAACCCATAGATATGATACTCTCACTGAGAACCTGAGCACACTGAAGAGGAGAGTTGCACAACTGTATCCTTGCTTATGCACAGTAACAGTAACGACTTTCCGCTGGCGCTGGGTAGCCTACATACAAAACACAATTTCACTAGTCCTTCACATACTAGTCCACGAATGATTCACGAATTTAAGTGAAGGCGGTTTACACACTTGTGTTTCTGCCAGAGTCTCAGAGAATGCGGCCGTGTAAAACACATAGGCCTAGCATTTACTTATTGTATTTTGAGGAGTGCGCATGTGCATGGAAATGACCGAAAGCTTGATGAATACAGCGAGCCAACTGCATTAAATATTGTAAACGCAAAAACATTTTTTTTTTCACCAATCTTGTGTTTTCATGTCAATTGATCAACTATTGCAGTCCAGCCATTAGCTCAAACTGACTGATATTATGGATCTGCATTTGAGTTCATGTTTGACAGTTTTAACACACAATCAACTCCAGGCGTAAAGAAAATGAGTTTCTTCAGAACGAGCTAGATTGGACACGTAAAGAAAATGTAAGTTCTCACAAATTAACACAATTGTTTTAAAGATTAGCCTAATATAATAGTTATAAATTATTATCATAATAATATTTGTTCTAGGCCTATAAATCATAATCATTCTCATTTTCTATGCTGTGCAGGTAGAGTTCATCTCATATCTTTCTAATAAGGCAGAGAAGAGACAGAATGCTATAGTCACTCAGAGCCATCAGGAACTTGAGAAGCTTCAGAGACAGAGACAGAACATGCAGGATAAACATGAGGAGAAGAAGAACGGTAAGACAAGTGTATATGTATCAGTACAATAAATGAAGGCATAGTAATCATAATCATGTGGTTATATTTTACTGTAAATGACTGAACATGTAGTGTGTGATGTCATTTTACCAACAACAGATAGGCTACAATCAATTGTTCACTGCAGTTAGTTAGCAAGATAGTAGGTTAGATGATAACATTTGAAACATCAAAGTGTGTTGTTTGTGTTTTCAGAGTTGGAGAGAGAGATCCTGCAGACGGAAAATCAGCTGGCAAAGCTAAATATTGAAATTGCAGACCTAAAAGAGGTTAAGGTAGCAGGTTCTCTCAATTTTATTATTCCTTTTTGTGTGTTTGTACAGTTAAATTAACCAAATTAAATGAGAAATATAACAAAAAGTTCGTTGTACTTAATTGAAAAAAGTTAAGTGAACTCAATAGCTGATTCATTTCAAGGGAGGTTTTATATGTATATATATCATCTGTGGAAGGCGAAGGACCATAAAATGTTCATCCAATTATTGCAATCAGTTAGAAAGCAATGATACGACATCCTACCTGCCTGTCAATGTATGTATTTTATTACTTTGTGGAAGTATGAGGTAGTTTAATGCTGTCTCAAGTCTCGCAATGCTTTTGTTTTGCTCCCTGCTGTACGTGTTCATGTGCTTTAAAGGAGGTGTGGCTTTAGACAGCACTCTGAAGGGAGGGTGGGATCTTATGCTTTCAAACAAATCTAGCTTGCTATTGCTAGATTTTCAGAAAATTGCCTACCCTACCAGTGGGGTAGGTAGAATTCCCCAAAAATACTTTTTCACCTGTGCAATAATCATGCTGTCTAATCAGTGTCCTGATCTCCCACCCCTGTGAGGTGGATGGATTGTCTTGGCAAAAGAGAAGTGCTTACTAACACAGATTTAGATTTGTGAACAATATTTGAGAGAAATCTGCCTTTTTTGTACATTGAAATAGTCTTTGATCTTTGAGTTCAGCTCATGAAAAATGGGGGCAAAAACAAAAGTGTTCCGTTTATAATTTTGTTCAGTGTACATATTTATGTATTTGTGTTGTGTTTGACTTAGACTCTACAACAGCAGCAGTTGTGTTGTATCACTGAGCTGGAAAGGGAGCTAACCTCTTTGCAGAGTCATCATTCAAAGACTCTGGTTGCTCTCAAGGCTGATGTCAATAGAAAGATGAAGAGTCTGAAACAACAGGCAAAAGACCAGATGCAAGCTTTGACTACCTCAGCCAACAAGGTGAGTGAATGCTAGTTGTGAAGTAAGTCAGTTAGCCAACTATGGTCGCAAGTTGGTCTGAACTCTATTGGTAACGACGGAACTTGCGACCATATAGTTGGCTAACAATGCTTTCGGGAAACGCACCCCAGCATGGTTGTTTGTCAAAGTGCCATGGGAGCTACTGAGTCAAGGAGTTTTCTCTTCCCTCTCCCTAAGAAGTTATATCACTCCATGATGTCCTCTACAAATGTGGTGCATCAGCAGAATAAAAGCCTGTGTGAGGAGTTAAAAAACCTTGTCCTGAGAGATGAGGCTCTAAGAAGTCAATGGGTTGCTCTACGGAATCATCAACGTCAACTGTTGCTGGACCGAGAGTGTGTGCAGAAGCTTCGCACCCAGCGTATTTCCTCATGCTCAAAATCTACAACACCAGCAGGTGCAAACAACAAAGAACACCCCCAGCGCAACCACCAATAACTGGAGCCAGTTCATTTACAACAAGGGAATTGTTTCATGTCATTTTTCCCCAGTCGCTTTCAATAAACATATGAATACTATTGTAAGACTCAATTTTCTGAAAGAAATTAGAAAATGTTTTTTTTAGTGATACTATCTCAGAAGACCAAGATACAGAAAGAGCGTCAGTTGGTGCAGTTTGAAAATTGCGAAACGCATACAAAGAGGTGCATCGATCGGTGTAACGGGCGTAGGCCAGTAAAAGTTATACGTGTTATACTCACTCCCCTGATCTGAAAAGGTGCTTTAGCGACTGATGTTAAGCTGTGGATAGTGTCCTTGTTAGAGCTTTCGCCTCCCCTGTAGACCACATTTTGAGTCCCGCTCGGGCGTGCGTTTCCCGCACAACGATATAACTCGCTACTTCACTACCATGATACGATGCATCGTTGGAGAAATCAACTAGCTAGTCGCAACTGTTTCCTGAAACCCATTGTCGCAAAGTATCATTCGTTGGTTTCGCACGTGGTGGAGTAATAACTACTTTTAATTGAACTGTTTAAGATCCAATTAACGCTAGATTTGTTAATATAAATTACAGACATGTCATCTGAGGACTATTTCAAATTGTTTTCAGTTATTTTGCTTTATTAGACTCAATATTTGGCTCGTTCTTACGTTCGCACATGCGCACTCTTCAAACAAGGTACTTTAAATCTTTTGACAAACTAAAAGACGTAAATTACATTTGTATGTATTCTAAATAAAAGGCACCGGTTGTACTGAATGTCAGCTTATTTTGCTCAAGACGTCGTTCAAATCACACAACTCTGCGATGCTGTTTGCGAATGTTCGTTGGAACGATTGTTTTTCGGGAAACACCGACTTGTTGAACTATGCAGATAACGACAGAACTTGCTACCATAGTTGGCTAACGATGTCGATGCTTTTGGGAAACTCACCTCAACCGGTTAGGGTAGAACTGGTTATATAGGCATCAGTTCAAGTGGCACTTTTCACAAATCTTGTTAGAATTCTCAAATTATTTTTTATTGTATAAACCAAATACCAATGAAATTTGTGTACAGTTTCTTTTTTTCACTCATTAAATGGTGTAAAGTGCATTTGATGTGCTGCATTTACGTAAACAAAAACTCTTTTTATCTCTTTTTTTTTACATGAAAGTCAGTGGGGTCTAATGTTATTTGGACAAAAACAGTTGAAACAGTTTTCAAATGTTAAGCAGTAGAAAGCCATATAAGTTGTGGATAAATAATCATTTTGGGGTATATTGCCCTTTTAATGATTTGAACAAACCTAAACTGAATATAAATACAAACTCAGAAACTACCAAAAAAAATATGCAGATGTAGTTTTAAGTGGCATAAAGATTTATAAATCATGAAGTGGTTCATTAACATTTCTGTTTTCTATATTTTATTTCAGCTTAATTACAATTAACAATTATTTAAAAAAAAATATGTTTGTAGTTAACAACAGTGAAACCGACAAGTATAGGCATCTAGACTGTGTTTCCTTAATGTGTGTGTGTGTGTGTGTGTGTGTGTGTGTGTGCGTGCGTGCGTGCGTGCGTGCGTGCGTGCGTGTGTGTGTGTGTGTGTGTGTGTGTGTGTGTGTGTGTGTGTGTGTGTGTGTGTGTGTGTGTGTGTGTGTGTGTGTGTGCGCGCACCTTTAAATGTGAGTGTTTGGATGTGTGAGTGTTCTGGTTTGTCTGGTTTTTCTCTAAAGGAAGTGATAGCAAGCCTTTCAAAGATTGAGTTCAAAGACAGCAGAAAGGCGAATTAGGTAAGCATTTGGACTAAATCATTATTTCTATTTATTTTATTCAATGCATAGTATACTATTTGTAATAAATGCCCTGACATTTCTCTTAGTAGAGCAATTGTTTCTTTGCAGGGATGAAGTTGGTTGGAGTGGCTCTGATTTTTTGTGCACTTACAGATTTAACATCAGGTAATCATTCTCACCTTAAATAAAAAACAGACAGTGTTGACATTTTAAAGATGCAGTGCTACCAAGTCTATATAACGTGGTTAAAACCACATGTCTTAACATGTTGAGAATCGAATCTTTTACGACCAGTTCAGACATGGTTTTCTTTTTCTTAGAGCTGTATAATGTTGTGGGGCCTGCAGCGCCTCTCTTCACTGTTGTTGGTGAAGATGTAATTCTGCCCTGTTATATCAAACCAAACACCAGTGCTGTGGACATGAAAGTGGAATGGTTTAGACTCGACAAAGATGAAATAGTGCATCTCTATGTAAATCGTGAAAGCAGAATCACGGAGCACAGTGAGTCCTACAGAGGGAGAACAGCACTGTTCCAAGATCTACTACAGAATGGAAATGCATCGCTCAAACTATCAACAGTCCAAGTCTCTGATGAAGGAGCTTACAAGTGTTTTATTGAGTCCAACTCCTGGTATGATGATATCACTGTTAATGTTAATGTCGGAGGTGAGCAGACGACTGAAATTATATATTTTAACAATTTTGATGGCGTTTTATATTATTTTCATAAAAGTGATCTTTTTAGTGCTTGGATGTTCTTTGCAACAAATTCACACAAAAACTAGCTCGGGCAGAAATATTATCTTAGATTTACAGTGCCTTTGAAATAAATGTAAAAGTTTATTTCACAATAATACAATATACAAGTACAATTTGAATTATTGTTATCCTTGATCCCCTGCAGCTATAGGAACTCATCCACTGATCATTATAGAGGACTTTGATCATTCAGGAGGGCTTCGTCTTCTGTGTGCATGTGAAGGCTGGAACCCTGAACCCTGGACAGTGAAGGAAATGTTTTGATTTCTGAGAAAGAAGTGCATGCAGATGCAAAAGGCTTCAGCGTGAAACAAAGGATCACTGTGCATAACAGTGAGACCAAGTATCACTGCAGAGTCAAACTGAAACATCATATGCTGCAAACGGACATCATTGTCTCAAGTAAGTATGATTTTGGTATGGTAGTTTATCATGTTGTAGAAAAAGGTTTCCCCTCTTTGCAAGAAATCACTCAAGTTGAGAAGTTCCAGCCAACAAAGACAAAGCACCAGCAGATCATCGAACAATCTCATTTGGAACTTTCATTACATTTACTTCCAACTTATTTAACCAATGAGCGTTGGGTTGTCTTCCATTTTTATTTCGCCTGCCACAGTTATTTAAACATCCTTCTGACTTCTCTTTAACAATGGCATGCCACTAAGTGCTCTATTTTTTAAAAAGATAATTAAGAGACCATCTTAAAACCATATATAAGTGTACTTAACAGATAAATCTCAGAACTTCTCAGGAGGCTTCCCCACTCTTTACCATTTCACGAGTTCAAACTTACATCAATTAAACGGAGTAAAGATTAAGATTTGGCATGCTGTCCAGGGGGAGGGCTCCGAGCTCGGAATTTTTGGCCGAACCCAAAATAGGCAAAAAGAACAAAGGATCTCGTGTATTGCAACGAGGTGCTACTGGATGTTTCGCCGGACCCGTTTGTTTGGCGGGTCCTCTAATAAAAAAAAAATATATTATAAAACAAAATATACTAAATCATTCTCAAATTTCAAATTTATTTTGATACTGTCGTGATGATTCATAATGAATTATGATTTAATTTGCACATTGATTGTTGCCTAAATGTTTTAGTACAGAAAATGTAGCCTACTGTTCGACTTTGTTTGTTTGTTTGTATTTAACATAATATCTTGGCCTATATTGCTCACATCTCATGCTGTATGGTGTATTTGTTACAGGTAAAATGTTTCAAGTTTGGAGAACATCAGTCATTTGGATTTCAATTACAGTTGTGTTCGGCATCATTACTACAGTTGCAATTGCTACTTTTGTTTACATAAAAAGAGGTGATCTGTTTTTCATTGATTTATTTTAATGCAAAAAAAAAATGTAAGTCTTAATTTTGTGGTTATATCTGAACGTAAAGAAACTGTTGATCAATTATAATTATATAATTGTATAATGATTTATCTTATTTATATTTTATAATTTCCACAGTTCGCTATTTGAGGAGGATTCGAAAAGGTGAGAATGCATTGTAATCTTATGTGATTTGTGGAATTTCTGTGTTCGACTAAATTCATTTTAAATACATTTAAAATAATTTCTGTTTTTAGAGATCGCAAAGAGAAGAAAATATGCCGGTGAGTAAGAAACAAAAAGAAATTATGTCTTTTTAATCCGTGGTGATATGGCATCAGTATAGTGATGCATCAGCCCTCAATATGTCCGTAATATATGTGATGTTAATATAAATATAATAATTTTCTAATTTTTATTAGTGGATGTGACTCTGGATCCAGACACAGCTCATAAATCTCTCATCTTGTCTGATGATGGCAAACAAGTGCGACGTGGAGAAAAAAAACAGAACGTCCCAGACAACCCTGCAAGGTTTAATAAATGTGGTAATGTCCTGGGAAAGCAGGGATTCTCTTCTGGAAGGTTTTATTTTGACGTGCAGGTGAAGGGAAAAACTGATTGGGATTTAGGAGTTGCCAAAGAATCCATTAACAGAAAGGATAAGATCACACTGAGTCCTCAGAATGGATACTGGACAGTGCGATTGAGAAATGGGAACCAGTATAGTGCCTGTGCTGGAACCTCTGTCTCTCTATCCCTGAAAGTGAAGCCCCAGAAGGTGGGTGTGTTTGTGGATTATGAGGAGGGTCTGGTCTCCTTTTATGATGTGGAGTCCAGTTCTCATATCTACTCTTTCACTGATCAGTGGTTCACTGAGGTACTCTATCCATTCTTAAACCCATGTACAAACATTAAAAGCACATACTCAGCCCCAATGATCATCTCACCTGTCAATTTCAACAAATAAATGAACTCACTAATAAGTAAATATGAATTAAAAACAGTTGTGTTAATTATAGATTGTATTAAATATGCTTCCTATTCAATTTGTCAACTTTCTTTACATTTATCTAAAGCAACTTCAAGGTAATGGGAATCAACCCCATAACCTTAATTTTGATAGCACCATTACAAAGAATAGATAAATACGTTCATAATCTTGTGATGTAGTGTGTATAGAAACATTTTGAGAACAAAAAATGTATTACATTTTATTTGCAGCAGTGGCCAATTTTGACATTGAGAATTTGTTTTACTCTTATAAAAAGGTTCCGAAAGGTTTTCGCAGTGATGCTTTTAAAGGGTAATTCCACCGGTGGAGACATGAATATGTATTGAAAGTGGGTCATATGTGGAGTAGAATAGTATCATAAATTTCTAATTTGGGTCCTTCTTGGCTGAAAAAAGGCAGAAAATGACTTTTTAGTGCTGGTGGATTGTAGACAATAATCCCCATAGTGCATTGCACTGCTCTGCTCCGCAGGCCACTCCCACTACTCTGCCCATCAATGTAGACTAGAGTTGAGCTCCACTCTATGCTACCGCCTGAAAATCATTTCGCACAATGAAATCAGATAATGCGCACTAATATAATATGATGACATAAGAGCGACATATGACAGATCAGACTGTGCTCCAAACCGTATAGTGTGCGCACAAGGGAGAGAGCGAGAGAGTTTGCGTGTGTGCGTCTCATGACACAGAGACTCAAATTTTCGTTCTTATTCGGTCTGGTTATTACCGTTTACGTCGGAACCGGTTCCCAATTGGCACCGCGTTTCGGTACCCAACCTTATCCATAATGCGTCCGTCTGCGTATTCAGTACCTTTGTCCATATTTTCAAAAAGTTTCTTCTGGTGATATCAAACGCACTGGCACTGATCTGTGATAGGTCTGTTAGCGCATTAGGTCCAACCCCCTATGGGTGGGTTTGAAAGGGTGGGAACTAGTGCTTGTAGTCTTTACAGAACACACCCCCCCCCCACGCTTCCCCCTACAATGACGTAAAATGACGGTTTTTGCGGCATTGTAGAAGGAAGTGAAAAGGGGAAATAGCAGATTTCTCTCGTCTCAGGGGAAATAGAGTATTGTATGACTGGATTTCAAACAATGGAAATCTTAATGCACATGGGTGGAGTGTCCCTTTAAATAACTATTTTTGGTTCCCCATAGAACCTTTAATAGAACAAAGCAATTTTTTTTTCTTTGTGTGAAACACTTTTTAATAATCTGAAGAATTTTTTTCCCACTATAAATAACATTTTGTGCCGTGGAAAGGTTCCGTGGATGTTTAAAATTCTTCACAGAACTAAAGATGCCAAAAAAGAACCTTTATTGGTGGTGAATTGGGGTTGCTGGAGAAGTGTGAATTGACAGAGTAACTGCCCTTAGCTTTTCAAGCAATAATGAATTGATTTAAAACATGATAATTGATTTTAACATTGATGCATGAGAGGTAAGAGTTGACTGAACTACATTCATCAAAAGCTGCTGATTTTTTGTTTCACTTCAAATATTTGAACGTTTTGTTACAAATGTAATAAAATCTTTCTCTCTCTGTCTTCGCTATGAGTCTATAAGTTAAAGAATTTCTTTATCAAAAACTGACCTTTGGATTCAGTGTGCAGTATTTTCATGGAGCATGTTAATATATTACTAATGAAATTATATTTGCTAGGATGAAGAGATGTTTATGGTTCATTTGTGACCTTTATTCTTTACTTGCACAACTCGTTACGTGATATAGCCACATTTTTAGTTCATCCTCCCTTTTTGTTCCATGGGGAATCATGACTTATGTCAGACTTTGTTATTAACAAGGTTAAATAAAAAATGTTAAAACGTATATTCATTCAAAAAATCGACTTGACTGCAACAGTCTTTATTATCATCTTCAGTTCTTCAAGTTTTCAGCAATAATCATTATTGTTGTACTTTGATGTACAACAAATACCTCAAAAGAATCAAAAGTGGCATGCTGGTGTAAAGTTTGACACAACAAATATCACACACCATTGTTAAAATTTTCTTCCACTGTGCCTATGAAGAATCATCAGTTGACTTTACACATCATACAGTAACACAATCTTGTCTAATTATATGCATGACAGAAATACCTCACTATATCATCTTAAGAAAGAGATTATTCATCCAGAAGATGGATGATGCAATCCAGGATGCTAAAAAAAAGAAAGTTGATTTATCATTGTTTATTGCAGTTGGAATAGACTCATCTCCTCCCTAATCACTTAGAACTTACGCATTTGGGTACATTGATGGCATTTGGGAACTATGTATGCATTTAGTATGCATTTACATAACATAATTACAATTTAACATGAGAACTTGCTTTAAAATAAAATTAAATGATACTTAAATAACAAAAAACAGGTTACTCTATGAAAACTTTTATTTAATTAAAAATATCATTCATAATATATAAACAAAACAATTAACAAGAATAGAAAATAAAAAACAAGACGTTTCAATGATCCTTTTCCATTTTCATCTCTGATTATTGTTTGAGCACACAGAGTATTTCTGTTTGCTGCCATCTAACATATGGGTCATTTTGTCTCGTGTTTCTTTTGGTTTGTAGAGTTATGTTTTCCGAGGCAAAAAGGGGGCAAAGTCTGTCGTTGTACATATTTGTTTTTGAGTTCACACTGTAAACAACCTTTGGTTGGTTTGTTTCTGCTGTAAAAGGTTAGCAGCTGTGAGAAATGTTGTCCCAGGTCGCTTCTATCTTCCATGGACGGTTGGCCGGGAATTCATGTCGCACATACTTGGATCTAAACCTAACCCTGTTTTGATGCTGTAATTTATGCACTCTGTGTGATCTTACGCTCTTCTGTAATATATTGCTCTTTGTGTTTTCAAAAAAGAGAGATTATTTTTGCTTTCCTTCAATCTGTATAATAAAATCTGTTAGTGTATGAGGTGACACAAAGACCAATGGTCCAGTCAAAATATTCAGAGAGAACCAGCGCAGACTGTCTGTTTGAAAATGTGATTCAATGTGATTGTGAACTCCAAGCAGAATCTCCTCTGTCTCCCTGCTTTCATTGATTCCACCCCAGACATCTGATGACCTACAGTATGTGTATGCTGTAATTTCACTGTCCATAACTGAAGTATGAGCAGAGCTTTCATTTGAGCCTAATTAGGCTCTATGATGATTTAAAAAAAATGACATTTAGAGCCAAAAATTGGCGGCCATCTTGAATTTGAAGGTCAAAAATAGGTCAAATTAATTAATCTACAACTTTTATGAATTTCTTGACCCAATTAATCTCAGAAACCATGTATTATACAGCACTGTGGGCAAAACCATTCAAAATTTCATTTCCAGCTAGGCCGACGGCAGCCATTTTGGATATCTGGCTCTCACAAAATGTCCCCAGATTTATGTGAGGGTCAGTCTGGCTAATTTTTTTTTTTAACCTTTATAGATGACAAATTCAGTGAGAAACAAACCTTCGCTCTCCACGGTCACGGAACTGCTATAGATGACCCAACTAAATGTCTGGCTTAATTATTAACAAGGGTAGATTAAAAATGTATATCATTAGGCCTACGATAAAAAAACTGATTTGACTATAACAGTCTTTATATCAACTTCAGTTCTTACTAAGTTTTCTGGGATAATCATTATTGTTCTACATTGATGTACTTGCTAAACCAGTAAAAATTGAATAGCTAGATTTTTTTTTTTAAAAATCTTACAGATGTTTTCTGTGTTTCAAGATCAAATTAAGAGAATTTACCTTTCCAGTAAATTGAAAGCCTTTCACTACTGATTAGAAGAAAACAGTAAGACTGGATCAGTATCAATAAATAATAATATCTTAATTAACATTTTCAGTTGATTTTATATAAGTGAAGTCAGACACACTAAAATTGAATAAAATAAATAATTCCATAATTTATTAGATCAAAATGCATGTCAATTTCAAAACAAAGCACATCCATTTCTGAATAAAAAAAATAAAGATTTGCTATTTTATTTTAGAATTGACTTGTCATTTATACTTCTCAAAAGTAATGTCAAGTGAAGTCCATGTAGGTACAGTCACATTGACACACACACCTTTTTGTTTACGGCTTTAATATAAAGGATAAATGCTAGACTAATATCTAATCTAAAGAAACCTTTGTTAAAATGTATTTGTTAACAGTGTTTGTAAATTAGGTCATCCATGAAATAATTTGTTTTCTGATTAAACATAACCTGTTCTTATTTATATATTGTTTTTACTTACTTCTATTTGTATGTGTGCAAAATCTGTATCGGCTATACTGATACTATTTTTTTGGAAATGTAAAGCTATTTTACCATCTCAAATGAAAAAAGAGAAAGCGGCTGTCGATGAACTTTTATTTTGAAGCCGCTCTGGCTTTACACTCGGGGGATGCGACAAACCAAACGTATGACAGCTTTCTGGACAACTGTGCGACCCATAGGCGAGTGCGATTGGCTCGGAGTGGCACTTGTAATTGCCTTATTTCTTAAATAACTGCATCTAATGAAGGATAGAATAACAATAAATAAACCTGTTTGCATCCGAGCGGACTATTTTTACTTTTATATGCTTCTGTGTGAAGCCAACACGACAAGCTCGTGTGCTAGCTCGCTGGCTAGCCAGCCTTTGTTCCATACTCTGACCAGTGTGGCCATAAATTCGGATTTAGCATTTGACTCTTTCATGTGGACTCCCTCTATACATATATTTTATTCAAATGAAACTCGTTACATCCTTTGGAGTATTGCGCACCGTCTTTGTTGTGGGAGAAATTTAGCTACCTGATCTCTGTGTTAGCTTGTATGAATTGCGTCTTGGCTAGGTCGTGCATAGGTTGCCATGGAGCAGTGCGCAGCTCCGCAGCTCGAGACCGCAAGCACGCACTCTTCACCACTAGACCCAGCGGCAAAGCCTGGAGGAGATGCTGGGGAGACGGTTAAGGATGCTTACGAGTGTCGGATTTGTGGTTATAAAGCGCAAGATGTGAAATGTCTCAGTCAGCACCTGCACGCCGCTCACCCTGTTACCAGCCTTTCTGACTCGGTGAGGAACGAGCGATGTGGAGCGCTCGAGGAGGAGCGAGTAGGTGACCTGGGAAAAAGCGTCGTCAAGGATAAAGTAAGTAACGTTAACGTTTTGGTGTTAATATCACTATTTATTGATGTTCTCGAGTTTTTGTTAGCTGTGTGGTCCACTAAGCATTCTGTAGAGTAACGTTATTTGTTTAAATGTAAATAATTTATCCTATTGCCGAGAGTTTTTACGAGCCTAGAGTAAAGGGTAAAAACTATTGTTTGGGGCGGGACTAACTCTGACAAACCAATGGGAGAGTGTTGGGAGTGGGACCTATTTGAAAACAAACATAATTGCTGTCAAAAAACATATTTTTTGTAATTTACTGAGGTTGTACGCATACCGTCACTGAGGATGTATCAGAAAAGCAACCACTACAAAACAGATATATAGTGTTTTATAGACACAGGCTCTGAATTGGGACACGGCCAGTATGTTAAAGTCAAAATTTACATTAAAATCGCCAATTGTTATTGTTTAAATAATATCACAGTGCGCTGTGATCTCAAGGGGAAGCATTATTGCCCAGCAGAGAAGAGATATGGTTGCGAGAGGGAGGAAAAGTTAATATTAAAGATTATGAGGGCTTATGAATTTAAAAAAAAGAACGATGTGCATGGATAAATAATTTATAATAAACACTGCAGTATTCCATTAAAAAATATATTATTGTCAATTTGGATTTCATGGTGACTTTAACTGCAGTGATTTCCTTTTGTGGCATTTTAACCTTATTGGAGAAATTTGTAGATTATGAATTTCTCACCTGATACATTTTGTATTCATATTTCTTGATCTCGCTCTTTTCAGCCAGTCACCCCTGAGGGATCTGAAACTACTTCGTTTCAGACTCCCGAAGACTCAAATGAGACGACATCCTCCGTAGAGGCAAAAGAACAAGAGGAGATGGACGTCTCGCCTGCTTCTGAAGAAACGCCAGGCTCCTCCCCCGAATTACCTCAGGAGACGTCTCCCTGCTCTTCGGGAACTAAGAAGTCCTGCCAAAAGAAGCAAACGGCCTCCTCTGGCACATCAACACACAACCAGGCTAACCTAGTCTGTCTTCCATTGGTATCCGAGGGGTTAAAGCTCATCTGGGTGCGCTCGGAGCAGGTCCACGAGCTGGATGCCGTGTCAGAACTCGTGGAAGCGTTTAATGAGTTCCCATACCCCACATCACAGGAGGCGAGCGCTCTAGCTCGAAAGTGTGAATTACCGCCGGAGAGAGTTAAAGCTTGGTTCATGATGCAACGGGTACGTTACGGAATTAGCTGGGCTGATGACGACATCCAAGAAACGCGACGCAAGCTGTGGCGGATTCAGAAAAAAGCGCTCGGCGAGGAGTGTGTGGAAAACAATGACGAGGAGGATTGTTTAGGACGTGATGAAACGCAACAGGATGCCCATGTTGATCAGAGAGACCACACGCCTAAACCCAGTCGTACTGTTCCTCAACACATTGACCAAAACCGCCAGCATTTTAGCCAGAATAATGCTTCCCAATCTAATAACGTTGTGCAGCAGTTTCTCGGTTCTAATGTCGTGTACAAAAATGGTCATGGATCTGCATCCCAAGCTCCTCAAGTCAATCCCCACTTCCAAAGTGATAGTACCCACAATACTGGAGCCCAGCTGCACGATGCCTATGGACGTTCACCGTTCGTGATTATGAACGATCAACAGAACGCAATGCCATACTCCGAAGTCCCCGAGCTTTCACAGTCTCTACACTGCTTGCCAGGGAAAAAATCGAAAGCGCAGCTGATGGCCCTGCGCCGCAGTTTTGTACAGAAGTCTTGGCCCTCTGACGGCGAGGTTCAGCGGCTCCAGAAAATGACTGGACTTAATCGGCGTGAAATCCGCAAATGGTTCGCTGACAGTCGCTACCAGCTTCGCAAGAACGGCCGGGCATGGCTAGCCAAGCTCGCTGGGCGCAATCGCACAATGCAGCTGCCCAAACAGAACTCTCAGAACGAGCTGGAGAACGACGCTCTACCTGGTGCCGATTTTTATGACAACGACGAGGCTGACGAAGCAGAAACGGGATTTGAGGTTGATGTGGATGTGGCTGACGATGAGGAACCGCTCAACCAATCAAATGACACCAAGGATGAAGGAAGTGACGAAGGTGACTTTGAAGACGGCAACGCTTCCGTTCAACAGTACTCTGCCGATATCTCCCCATCTCCTTGTCCCTCTCCGTCATTCCTCCGCGGCCGGGTCGAACCAAACGTGCGACTTCGCAAGAAGACGAGGGAGCAGTTGGAAATTTTGCGGCAAAACTTCCTCCGCTGCCAGTGGCCCACAAGCGACGACTACGTGATTCTCCAGCAGAAGACAGGCCTGACAAGGACAGAGATCATCCAGTGGTACGGAGACACGCGCTACCATGTCAAACATAATCAGATGCGCTGGATGACCTCACAGGAGAGGGAACGCATCATCGCCGTCATAATGCAACAACAGAAAAAGGGCGGGAAGTATTCACGGGGAAGAGTCTCATTTGAGAACATGGGCTCTGGGTTGAATTTGGATCATTCTGCTGTAGTCAACGGAGGTGGAGGGGGCGAAGCAACAAACTGGGATGAACTTTTTAGAGGAGGAACCCCAGTTTTGCCTGAGGGTGAACTCTGACCTCGGCAGCAAAGTCAGTTTGCAATGGCATTTGTAGCTGTGCAGATAGGTGGAAACTGAATTCCACATCACTGCCAAAGATGTTACACAAATACTTTTTTTTTTTTCTCTTAACCTATCTGGATATTTCTATCCCAATTTACTGCTATGACCAGGGCCTTGTAGAACCTCTCTCACAACATTGTTATGCAATATGTATCTCCAACCTAAGCATCTTACTTGAATCAAAAGTATTTAGTATTAGAATATGTACTTTAAAGTAATCGAAACAAAACTGTGTATGGCAAGGCACTGAATTTATAGTACAATGTATTTTGTTTGGTAGCTTGTTTCATCAGAGGTCTAATAAATTTTCGTTGTGACTCAACAGAGAGAATGCATGCATGTTGCCATTTTCATGTTTAAGTTGCACTTCGTGCTTAGATATGTAGATGTTTGCTTTTACAAAGGTCAATTGTATTTAAGGTTATTAGCAGCATACCTAAAATCTTTCATCTCCACATGTGTGCTACACAGATATGTTTCTTTGATGGAAACATTGTTCTGACATAATTCTACAATTTATGTGCTTGATTATATTTAATTTTTTCCCCAAATCATATTTGTGGTCCTTATTTCTTTCCTTTTTTTCTTTTTTTTTTTTTTTTGAAAACTAATTAAAATCTTGTAGTATCTTTTTGAAGTTGATTAGTCTATGCATTAACTAAGCTAATTAGAAAGACTGTCTTTTTTTTGTGCTGAAGCTTTTTGTACCAGTTTGGTTTTACTTAATAAATTGATCTTAAAAACATGTTTATTTTCTAAACATTCACCATTACAACAATTTTTGTATTTACATTTTTACATTTACTCATTTAGCTGACACTTCCATCCAAAGCGACTATACTGTAAAATGTGAATAGTTGACATTACTTTAAAAAAAAGTGAGGAAACCCGCTGCCATAAAATGATAAAGTAATAAACTTCATGCCTATTTGAGAAGTTTATTTAATCGTTTTAAGGCAACAGGTTTCCTCGTCAATTGGTCACTTTTTTCAGTGTATCAAAATGATAAGATACAATTATAATACAGTGTTCTATCATGTAAACATATTGAATAGTACATTTGAAATGAACATGTATAAAGTCAAACACACAGAATAAGTAACACTGGGTAGTCTTAGACTAAAAATAAAATATTACTCCTAAAAGGCATAAAAACCTAGGTTTTCATAAACCTGGAGCAACTTTTTCACAATGAATTGCCCATAAACCAGCAAGGTATAAATGGTAACTTTACAATTTACAATAAAGTTAATTAACATTAGTTAATGCATTAGTATCATCTAACAATGATAAACATTTTTTGTTCAGCATTTATTAATCTAATAAACTGTACTAATGTATTATTAGCATATTTTACTATTCAATTTAAACATTTCAAATAAATGCTGATCTTTTGAAATGTCTATTCATCAAAGAATCCTGGAAAAAAATAATCATGATTTCCACAAAAATATTAACCATTAACTTTTTCCAACATAAGTTGGAACAATAATATCAAGTGTTAGTTAAGCAGCGAATCAGCATATTAGAATGATTTCTGAAGGATCATGTGACACTGAAGATGCTGGAAATTCAGTTTTGCTATCACATGAATAAGTTACATTTTAAAATATATTAAAATAAAAAAGTTACACAAAATATTAATGTTTTAGTGTGTTTTGATCAAATAAATTCAGTCTTGGTAAGCATAAGAGATTTCTATCAAAAACATTTAAAAAATATAACCAACCCCAAACTTTTGAACCCTATAGAAAATATCATTTACCTCCTAGATTAATAAATGTTGTAAAATTGTTGTTCATGTTACCTAATGCATTAATGTTAAATTGAAAATAAAAATCTAGGAAACACCTCAATGTCTCTCCCTCAGTTACATTCTTAGTGATATCGGTTTCAAGTCTTAAAATATAGATTTCTCCAGTTAATTCCAATACTCGATAGGCTGGGTTTGTTGGGCTTGAAGAAGATCCGCCCCTTGGATTATTCTGCGAATTACAGAAGCCGAGGAGATCAGCAAGTGTCCAGCAGCATGGAGGAGAGTGGACATGACTCTGAGCGCCTCCCTGACACACAACAAATGGGTAAATCCAATTCAGTGACTTAACTGATAAAGATTATTTTGTGCAAATAGCTAGTAAAACAAACCTTCAAAATGCTTAGAGTTTAAGAGGAACCCTGCTTACCTCAGGAATCTTTTTGGTCCCAAGCATTGAAAATCTGCACTGACAGAATAGAGCCCTTTGAATGTGGCCTTCACATTCAGTGAGCCGAATACATCTTTGGGGTGCGTACGGTAAAGGTCAAAGGTGATCTGAGCGATGTCTTTTCCTGTCCTTGGCTTATTATCACCTGGTTTGTTGTTACCCCTTTGAAGTAACTAGGAGGGAGAAAATTAGTGAAAAGATAAACCACTGAATAATAAACTGATAAATGAATGAATCTTAAGAAAATGTATTCATATTTTGCTTCATGATTTGAAGTGTGATACTGATAAGTATAAATGTGATGGATATTACTACCTTTCTAATGTTGATGAAGTCAGATTAGTGGCGAAACATAGTTTTACACTTTTAAAAAAAAACTTTGCGGATAATTTACTCACCCCCATGTCGTCCAAGATGTCCATATCATTATTTCTTCAGTCGAAAAGAAATTAAGGTTTTTGATGAAAACATTCCATGATTTTTTTTCCATATAATGGACTTCAGTGGGAACCAAACGGTTCAAGGTCCAAAAGACAATTTCAGTGCAAACTGTTCAAAGGGCTTTAAACGATTCCATTCGAATTCTCCTGTTTGAACTCGTTCATCAAAATGAACGAATCTTTTCCCGAATCAACTCGTTCCTTTCGTTCTTTGAATGAACCAAACGACACAAAAAAAAAAGATTTGCTCATTTTGATAAATGAGTTCAAAGACGAGAGTCACGAATGCGCATCACAGAACAGAGCAAGGCGACCATTTGAGCTTATAAACTTTGTTTTTTTGTTTTTTTAAATGAGCGATCATTTCGCTTGATAATATTTGCTTGATATTCATCGTCTGAAATCGTTTAAAGCCCTTTGAACAGTTTGCAGTTTGCACTGGAAGTGTCTTTTGGACCGTAAACCGTTTGGTTTACATTGAAGTCCATTATATGGGAAAAAAAATCCTGGAATGTTTTCATCAAAAACCTTAATTTCTTTTCGACCGAAGAAAGAATGACATGGATATCTTGGATGACATGGGGGTGAGTGAGTTTTTTAAAACCACTACAACTAATAATTCGAGGTGAAATAAAAAATGGTTTCTGCTTGACACAAACACACATACATACAGGATGAGGTTTCCAGATCTCTCCAGGGTTCAGGGCCATAAAAACGGTGTTGTCCGGCAGGGCTATGAAGAACTCATCAGAGTCAACCTCGGTCCCATCTTCCTCACACACCAAAGTCAGTTCAGACTTTACCAAGAGAGCCTGAGCTGCCTGAGGTAAGAATGACAGTATACAAATGTCCAACAGCATGATCAAATATGTAAAAACTTTCAGTTGGACTAAAACTGTTTTTTTTTTTTTTGTTTGTTTGTTTGTTCATACCTTCTCTTGGAGCTCCTCTAAGGATCCTGCAGTGATTCCTTTTTTGACCTCTCTGTTCCAGGAACACACTCTGAACGGACGCTGAGGGGGCGACCAAACCCGCCGAGACACTGACCTGGATGAAAGAGAGATTGGAAATGAGGAGGAAGCAAATCATCAAAAACAGAAAGGTAAGGTCAAGAAAGTGAAAGTTGTTTTTGGAATCAGTTTAGAAAAGGAACAATTTCCCCAGAAACTACAATTCCCATTATTTCCGTTCCTACATCCTCAGTATGACTTTCTTTCTCAAAGGATTTTGAAGTATTGTACTGGTCTACTTGGATTATTTGACACATGAATCTTCTGAAACCCTGTGATAGCTTTGTGTGAAGTTTTATTGGATCGAAACTGAAGACTGGAGAAATGGACAGTGAAAATTCAGTATTGTCATCGCATGAATAAATTTCGTTTTAAAATATATTTGAATAGAAATTTGATATTTGAATATATACTGTATTTTTGGTCAAGTAAATGCAGCTTTGGTGAGTAGGCCATGAGAGACTACTTTCGAAAACATTAAAACAAATCTGTCCTAGTTCATATGACTGATGTACTTCAAGCCTTCTGAAGTCATATACAATAGCTTTGTGTGAGGAACAGAGTGAAATTTGATTTTCACTGACAATCTGGACATCCTCCTTAGCTGTTCTTGGAATTTTTTAATGAGATAATTAGTGATGTTCTTATATTTAGAAATTTGTTCTTTCATTTAATCATCTCCTGTCTAAATCATTATGATCTGGTTCTCGAGTTCACCTGACTCACTGATCTGATAACAGCTCACTTGAATGGGAAGATTATAACAAAAAAATATCATTTAAGATTTAAGACTTAAGATTTCGGGATTTAAGACTTAAGATTTCGGTTTATAACACAAAGCTATCTAATGTCTTATGTAGGCTTGTTTTTTGTGTGTGTTTTTGTGTCCTTTCTTAACTTTGAAACCAACAAATGGACAAGAGCGACCCAAAAGCCACAGAGGTTTGGAACAACATGAGGATGTGTAAAAATAATACTTTGAATAATATTCCTTTCCTTTAATAATCAATGTCTCCTTTAAAAAAGTGGGACAAGAACAGACACATGGCGGTAATCAGACTCTCTCTTATCTAAAGAGCTGTTAACAGAATAAAACAACAGTGCTGTGAAACCCACAGTTAAAGTCCAATGTTTCAAGACTTACAGACAAACAATGATATTACTTATATTTTTCATCTATTTACTATGACCTTTGGTCAAATACTTTGGCCTATATATGTAAATGTGGCAGCTTTTTAAAGTATATACATCTAAAGGTATATTATAAATAACAGAATTTATTGTCAACAAATTTACATTAATAAACTATACCTGAACAGGGAGGACGTTGTTTCCATTATGCTCTGTGGTCGAGGTCCTCTGTCTATTCACTCAATTTTGGTTGTTTACAGTCCCTTCTGCCTCACTGTTTGAAGTAAACTGGTCATACTGAGTCACGGCTAGGGATGAATATCTTTTTGAGAATAACAGCCTACTGTGATTCTAGCCAAGTGGACTTTGTCTTTGCAGGATGATTTAGTCTGATAGAATGTGTCATTGGGCAAGGTCTCTTGACTGTGCTGTTTAGGAGCCAAGGTGTGCATGATGTAAGTATGGGGAGACTGGGGAGTGTTGAAACACTTATTGTTGGCTGTGAGCTTGAAACTTTGTAATGATTTCCCCCCACATTTATCTGTTAGAAATTCATTAAAGGTATTTTTAAGCCAACAACTTATCCCTATACTGTAAATAAATGCTGTTGTAAATAAATTCTACCTCACAACACTAATAGAAAACATAAACATAATTTTGTATGATTTTTCTTTGCTAATGAACTTTTTAGGTATTTTATCTAATTATTAGCATATTTCAGAGTTTTAAACTCTGCTCTTTTAAAACCTGAGGTTTTTACATGGCCAAATAGTTTTTTATAGTGAATATCTATTTGTAGTTATTATGTGGATGTTAATACATTTAATTAAAGTCAGAGAATAAACCTAGTGCTGCCAACATTGTGGTGGGAGCATCTATTTTAAGATCCACAATACTTGAACTGAGAAGACTTTTATTTTGAAAACCAAAACAACAGACGGAACTACACGTCTTTCTGAAAAAAACAAAGAAACATTGAAATAACTTTGATTAAAAATAAAATACATTTTGCATATTGTAAAGAACTGTAATATCATTTCAATAAAAAGGCATTTCTTACTAATATGTTATTTTTGTTTTGTTGAACACATGGTTGAACAGCTCTCTTCTTGGCCTATGTTCTTGGCGTACTTCACACCGGAAACAGTATTTCGTAATTTTGGCGCGTGAAGTGGATTCTTGCTGCGACCTGCATTGGGTTTACCGTTATAACACAGTGTTGTCCAATTGTCCTTTACCCTCTGAATATTGTAGATGACTGGTTATGCTAACGTATATAAAGGATTTTTTTTTTTTCATCAAATAAGCTATTTGCAAAACATCCGAGTTGTTTGTTTTCAGGACGGACATTACAACAACACAGCGATTAATTCCATGGAGGAAGGTGGGTCTGCATTGTAGCTCGTAATAATCTACTAATAAAAGAAGAGTGATCGGATTTAATGTCTAGTTTTCGTGCATTTGCTGTCTTTAGATGCAAGATATTTCCTATTCACATTTAGTTCCAGCTAATGTGTTAAATATAGATGAGCATGTGATAGCTGTAAATTAGTCATAAAATATCAGTATTGGTAGTTGACATTTTAAACATTAACATGTTGTACTTTAAAAAAAAAAGTTTGTTACTGTATTTAAAAAATCTTATTTTAAAGTCATTTTAGCTCATATCTATAATATTTATATAGGCTATATACAAATTAAGTTATATAGACAGGTGTAATTGAACAATTGATGACACACACGTACATATATATATAAAACTAAGCTGTTTATAACTTCAAGATTCAGTACAGTTTGCTCATTATAATTGTTTCAGGTCTTTTTTCAACAGGTGCACCTCTACCCCTGTCAGCTCTGCAGCTTTTAGCTCCACCACTGCGGCTAATGTCCGCAGCCATGTGGAAGGTGATGCTGAAGAGGGATGTAGTGTATTATGGTAAACTGGAGGAGATCGTAACATCACTCTGTGAGACTGTACCTGGGTTGCTCCATTACAGACATCGGGCCAAGCTGACAATGGGTTTGCGGGCACTGGTAAGATTACTAAAAAAAGTACTGTCGCATTTGAAACTAAACTAAAAAAGTAAACCAATGGCTGATCCTTTTTTACATAATTTCATATTTTATGTAATTCTCAGTCATGTATACATGCATTGTACATTGTCTATTGGAGTGTGGTTCAGTGATGTAACTTTTGGTCGGTCCTATATTTAAAGCTTGTTTTCTAAGATTTCTTTGGTTTGCAAATAATAAGGACATTTCTATTTTTACCTTGTTAATCTGGAGATGATCTTAGAAGAGCTTCGTCGATCTGACCCTCCTGATACTCAGCATGTTCTGGAAGAGCTGTGCAAGCTGGAAGCTTCCTCCATTCCCGGTGGAAGGGTGAGTTTGGCCCAGACATTGGTGCTGTCTTTTTCCTTGCTTGTTTGTTTTTCTAGTTTTACTCTGTCTCATCTAGCTTCTTTTGAAGTTTAAATGATTGTTCTTGCATGTTGTTTCACAATGGTTTGATGCATTAGCAAGTGATATACATTATTTTATCCTCAGAGGAAGGAGCAAAAGGTGGAGGAAGCTAAGAACAACTTCAAAACCCTGGTGCACTCTCTCCTAAAGAACCCAACAGCCAGAAAACAATTCTTCAAGGTAAAGCTAAAACAATTTTGTTCCTCTTAATTTTGTTTTAAAGGTCTCCTACAACCGGTTTACATGCCTCCAAGGTCAATTTTTTTTTTTTTTTTTTCATATTGTACATTACAGCATCACCTCTTTTCTCACAATGTCTAAAACGTTATGATCAAGGATTTAATTAGATCAATAATCAGTTATTTATTTTGGGAAACTCCATTTATAATGCACTTTGATTTTTAAAACTTTGCAGACCTTTTACATACACAAACTATTACACTCTACATAAAAGTTAATATCCAAAAAAGCACAAGGGGGCACTTTAAAACTTTTGTTTTATTAATAATTAGCATCACAAATATTTTCTATTTTTTTCTGTTGATGATAGAAGGTAGTTTTAAATAACCCATCAATGTTTTTAAAATTGTCTGAGAATTTTGAGTTAATGCGACATCTGATTTATGCATGCTGACATTTTGTCTTTGACTCCAGGAGGAATTCCACCTTCACTATGGAGGAGACTATGCAGCCAGTCTAGAGAAGCTAATGTGGGAGTTTATAATCCGAGTGGACAAGCTATTACCTGTTCCAGATCTTGCTCAGGTATAATTCACCATATAGTTCAGGACAATAACATTATTTTTCATTTTTAGAAAATCTGTTGTTGTTTTTTTTCTTACAGTGCTGTAAGAGTTAATTGTTTGTTACTGTATTTTAAACTACCCTGTTCATGCCATGAAAATAACCTTCAGGGCTAACATCATGGCAAAACAAATCAGATGTAAGATTTTTTTCTTGAAAATTGTGCATTCTAAGTCTTGAATGTTGTTTCAGAGAGGAATTATATAATTGTGTCTAAAATATCTGGAAAGGAGGAAATACTTTCTTGCACTACCTAAAGATGTTATCACAAATGCTGCTATATGCCAGTTTTTTTGTTGTTAAATTTTGTAATGCTTTATGTATTACTTGGTTGATGTTTAATAAAAAAGATATTCAAGTGTGAGTTGTAAGTATGGTCCTTTACACTGTATTTGCTTATAATAATTTCCCAAAGTAAAGAAGCCAATTGGCTGATTGAAGTATTCAAGGTCAATCTTGCTGACTAGGTCCCTTAAGCTTGGTTATACGCTGACTGCAAGTGCTGATTGTGGCATTTGGGTCATGGCCAGTATTTTGTTTTTGCTCACTGTTCTGTATTGTACTGTTTGTTTCAGACAGTCTCGTGGCTCAGTGGCGCCCCTGCTGTTCTGGAGGAGTGTGCACGCTCTGCCTCGCAGCCCCAGCTCCTCAGGACTCTGCTGCAGCATGAAAAATGCCTCGGGCACCTCGACTCAAGTATGTCTGGGAGCTGAGATGATCAAGTAATTGCATATGGAGAAGTATTAAATATACATGTACTCTGTCTATTTTTTTGCCTCCCGTCCCAATATCTTATTTTTTTTCCCTTTGTTTCAGCATCTCTTCTGTCATCCACTGGTGACTTGATCCTGACTTCTCTTTCCCTCCCTCTTTCGGGTAAAGTGCTACAGACTGTTCAATCCGAATCCACTCCCACATCCAACAGAGTCTCAAATCTGGCCCCGTCAACAGCCAGAGCCACTCGCAGAACAGCAAAAGAAGCCCAGTTACATATCACACCTGTGATTGGGTCCATTTCCAATGACGATCTCCCAAAAAACAATGAGAAAGTAGCATCCCGTTTAGGACAAGAAGTCGAATCAACTTCAGAGATACCCATAAATACCAGGAGCAAACTAAGATCATATTCTAAAAAACAGATTTTGGAAAAGGATCCAGAAGAGGACCATTTTGTCGGGAATATGTTGGTCACAGTGATCAGTCAGTCATCTGGCAGTGAAGCAGAAGAAGAGGAGGGGGAAGAGGGCAGCAAAGAAGATATGAAGGAGAGTAATGTGAGTGCAAACAGACCCAAAAAGACTGAAGTCAAGAACGGAAATGAAGAAACAGTTGATGTTACCAGGAAATATTCCGCTAATAGAAACACGGAGCCCATCGAGTCACAGGAAGCAGCACTCCGCATTTCCTGTGTGACGCGTCAACTAAGAGTTGTCCTTCCCAGATTAAACATCAGCAATGCCAATCTTTCTGTCCGCCTGAATCATCATCCGTCTGATGAGCAGGAAATTATAAGGTCTCCAAGCCCAGTTACTTTAAAAGACAGAGGGGGAAAGAGTGTCTCGAAGCTGCGGAAAAGGAAATTTATTGATTTGAGTTCAACGCCTGAAAAACACCTGACTTTATCAGTCAAAAAGTTGTAAGAATTGATTTAATATTATAATTTAATTATTGTAGTTAACGATTTGTTTAATAAAAACATTAATTTGTGTCTAATTATTGTCTAATTCATTTTTGTATAAATTGCTTGTTTTTTAAGAACTTCTGCACACTCTCCGTGTGTTCCACTTGTGCGTCTTCCAATGGGTATTCCAGGTGACTACAAACTTTATTAATTTCATGTGTTTCATTTAGGTTTTTGTATGCCAGAGGTCTAACTTTAGTGTTTTCGTCTGTTGTAGAAACACCATCTCCTTTAGTGAAGTCATCAGATGACATCATAGATGATTCTGATGATGACACAACAGGCAGTGTGAAGAAAAAGGTTTGTAACCCCACCCACGTGACTCAAACCACCAATAATGTTTTATGTTATGTAGAAACAGTGAGTAGAGCGA